TAGCTATGAGGAAAAGGAAAAAGAACTTTTAAGGGTGAGGCAATGGATTGGAACCACTGATGGGGATTATGAACCAAATAGTTAATGAGGGAGAAAGAAGAATGTTCTGTCAACAATGATTAGAGGGCATGGTTATGTTGTGGGTCAGGGTCTAGGATTCTCTACCCCTCTTCTATAAAGTTGGAAGAAGCAAAATAAGATGTTGACAGGCCAGGAAGGGGGATAGAAAACTAATTTTTGTTTATAAAAGATAGAAAATAAAGGCCTACGAGCCACGTGTAGTGCACCCCTGTGATGCCAACCCTCCAGACAGATCATGAGTGTGAGGCCTTCAGTTGTAGTCTGTCTCAAGCAAACAAACAGTGTTTGCTCAGAAAGAGAATAGGGTTGTGGGCAAGGATGGGAAGGGGAAACTGTGAGTAAGAAAAGGAAGAGATAACATTGCCCAAAAAAGAAATGTCTTCATTACTTATAAAATATAGCCCCTCTATACAACACCTAAATAACAATAAAATTATTTTAAAGGGGCTGGGAATGTGGCTTAGTGGTAGAGTGCTTGCCTAGCATGCATGAAGCCCTCAGTACTACATAAACAGAAAAGGCTGGAAGTGGTGCTGTGACTAAAGTGGTAGTATACTAGTCCAAGCACAGTTCCCCACCCCTGAGTTATATATATATATAAAGTTATATATATATATATAAAACTTTTTTAAAAAGAAGGAAAGAGAATAGGGGTGGGGTTGACTGCAAAGAGCACCTAGAAAAAAACTGAAGCTGTGTGTTATAGAGTATTAGGGTGCTGAGGCAAAAGGTAACTGCAGGCAGCCTGTGCTATATAGTAAGACCCAGCCCCCTCTGTCCCCCAAAAGTGAGAGGATTAGCGTGAAGAAAGGAAAATCACTGAGGTTTCTATTCTAGGTCTTGTTTAAGGAAGTGGTAACAAATATGCATTCTCAAGATTCATTGAGTTAAAGCTGGTGAGGGTGGCACACACCAGTAATCCTAACACTCTTGACAGACTGAAGCAGGAGGATCATGTTGGAATTGAACTTGACCTACATAGTAGGACTTTGTGTTAATAAACAAAACTCAATGAATGAAACACCAGATATATATATGTATATATATATATAGTATTACAGGTAAATTATGCCTCAGTAATAATAATTACTATAGTCTATAATGAAGACCAATGGAGGGTGTAAAATACTAGAATGGCATATATATATGTTTTGGTTTTTGAGCCATTACTGGCACTTGAACTCAAAGCCATGTGATCTTACTCAGTTTTTTCCACTCATGGCTAGCACTTGAACCATACCTCCAATTCCAGTTTTCTGCTGCTTAATTGGTGATAAGAGTCTCACAGATTTGTCTGCCTGGGCTGGCTTTGAAATGAAAGCCTCAGATCTCAGCATCCTACGTAACTAGGATTATAGACATGAGCCACTGTCAGCCAATGAGGCTGAAGCTAGATAGCCTAGGTAAGTGGAAGAGTTTACAGATATTAAAAGCTGGAAGATGATTGCTAGGAGGATGGCTGTCTAGAAGGCAGAGAGCAAAGGAGAGAAAAAGCACAAAATGCAGGCAATGTTTAAAAGAACTGTTGAGACACTTGAAAAGTCCGAAATTGGATCCATATTTGACCCAACCCTCTCTTCCCCAGATATCAGAATAAAATTTTTGTTTGTTTTTAGTCTTATTGACTATTATTTCACTACATAGTCTTGGGTGGCCTTGACCTCAAAATCCTCCTGTCTTGGCCTCTGGAGTTCTGTGATCCCAGGCTTATACCACTACACCAAAAGAAATAAATTTGTTAAAAATTAAACTTAAGTGAAAACTTGGTCTGGAGGCATGACTCAAGCATTTGCCTACCAAGCAAGAGCTCTGAGATCAAACTTAGTATTTGGGGGAGGGGGAGATGAAAACTCCTAACAAATCATTCAGAAGGTGTCAAGGGTATGCACCATGCCAGAAGGAAGGGAGGTATTTTTTAAAATATATTTATTATTTTGAAGCCACATTTTGAGAGGTGGAGTTGGGACTCTTTATTGGAGGGCCAGCATCTGCAGGAGGACTCCTGTCTAAAAGACCTGCAGCCCCACAAATACACTCAAATTGCAATCCACATGGTTTCGGCATCATTAGTCTCTTCACCTACAGGCCTGGAATTGCCTTTTCATTTCAACTCAGTGGCAGAGTGTGGGGAAGGCAAGATTAGGGTTAAGGAGTTGTAGGTCATCTAGAACAGGGATAGAGAACCTTTCCTTTTCTGCCAAGTAAAGCTGGTTATTTATAACATCCTACAAGGACCATATTAAATTTATCAATATAGACAGGCAGCCAAGAGCAGCCAATGAATAGCTTACAAGAATTATGTCTATTTGGTCAAGTACCAAATGATTTCTTGAGCCTTATATAGCCTTTGGGCCAGATGTTACCACCCTCAATCTAGAGAAATAAACAGCCATCTTTTTCTGTAAAGAACCAGTTAGTCGAAGTGGCGCTGTGACTCAAAGTGGTAGAATGCTAGCCTCGAGAAAAAGAGTTCAGGGATAGCGCCCAAGTTTACACTCCATGACCGGCAACAATAACAACAACAATAACACAGCGCTAGAAGTTTTAGGCTTTCAAGGGCATACAACTTGTCCCAAATATTCTATCATTTCTGCACAAAAGCAGCCATGAACCACATATAAAGATTATGACACAGATGGGACCAGTTTGCTGACCTCTTTTTCTTGCTTCTGACTGCATATTAAAGCCACTGGACAAGCCCATAAAATCATAGATGCCAAGGCTTTCCCCAACCCTCACCTCCAATTCTGAGTCTTAATCTCCAAGACTTCCCCACTCCTTTGTCTCAGTCTCTCAAGTAGCTGGGTCTACTTTACCATCCCCAGGTCCAAGCTTTTTTTTTGGTAGTGGGGTTTGAACTCTGGCCTTGGGTGCTGTCCCTGAGCTCTTCAGCTCAAGGCATGTGCTCTACCACTTGAGCCACAGTGCCACTTCTGGTTTTCTGGTAGTTTATTGGAGTTAAGTGTCTCATGGACTTCCTGTCTGGGCTGGCTTTGAACTGCAATCCTCAGATCTCAGCCTCCTGAGTAGCTAGGATTATAGGTGTGAGCCACTGGCGCCTGGCTCAAGCGTTTTTCTTTTTAACCTATTGGTGCTTCTGCTTTGTATCCTGGACAGAAACTCTTTCTAGAAGGCAGTTGTAACTGCTCAGGAAATTGCTAGAATGGGGAATGGAGAGAAATAAATGCTGGCAGGATAAATGATCCAAATTAAAGTCTAGATTGTCATTAGCAACATTTTCCAGCCACCTGACAAATGAAGGGCTTCTAATATTTTAATTAAATGCTCTTTATTTGATACTCTTATGTGCAAGACACTATAAGGAACTTCCCAACCCGGCATACCAGCCCTTTCATCATCTGTAGTTAAGGCTGCTATGGGGGACAGGGACAATCAGCTAGTCACCTTCTACCTAATGGTCTTTCTCAGACCATTCTTTATAGGCCCCTGAGTAGTTCCGAGCCCTGTGGAGAAAAAGAGGGGAGATGGGAGGAGGTGAGGAATGGATAGGTCCAGCAGGCAGTCTCTAGTCATTTCCCAACTAGTAAGGCTGCCCATACCCTGTGTATCCGAGAGCTCGCGCCAGCTGCGTGGCCTGGAAGCCCCGCTTGCCCATCTGGCAGAAGAAAACAAGATTCTCATCTTCCAGCCTGGGTTTCTCCTCTGAGAACAAAGCCTGGAAAGTAGCTGGATCCATCCGCAGGGCACTTTCCAGCTCAGACACTGGGAGAGGATACAATGGAAAGTGAGTTGTAGGGCTCTTGGGTTCAGAAGTTGGGCCAAAAAGAGCTGCTTGCCCAGGGCGGAACAAATCTCCAGGGGACCCCAAAAGAGGATAAGGTGACCACCTCCCACACCCATCCCAGCCTTTAGGCCAAGCCTGCTTATGCAGGAAGTCAGCCAAACAATGTGAGCCACTTCCTGAGTCCAGAGAGGGAGGAGAAGGCACAAACCAGGGCATCTAGCCCCAGGGGTTCAGCATAAGCTTCTGCAAGGCTGCCCTCTCCTCACCACCTGCTTCCCCTCAAACTGGATAGGCCAGTTCTGCTGCCAAGATCGCTGTCATCAACCCTTTTCTAGGAAAGCTGAGGGCTGGCTGCAGAGAAGGTGGGTCCTGGGTAACAAGAACCTTCCCCACACCATCCTAAAGGAGGTCCCATTAGCTAGGCCCATCGTGGATTGTCTCTACGCAAGACGGGGGTAGGGGAGGGGTAGGGTGCGGGTGCTCTCAATCTCATACCAGGGATGTTGAGCGCACCTGGGATGGTCCCAGCAGCTGCCTCCTCCCGAGATCGCACGTCGATGAGCCGGGCCCGGCCCGAGGCTAGGAGTGAACGGAGTTCAGGGAGCGAGACTGTGGGCACTGAAAAGGGTACAAAAGCCTTCAGAGGAGGGGGGCCAGGAAGCACCGCTGCCACCGTGCACCTTACCTGGCAGCGCTCCAGTCCCCAGTAGGGAAAGAGAACAACCTCCCCCTACGCTCCTCCCTCTACATACACCGCTTCACCCCCCTCCCAGGCTACGGGCAGAACCGTGCCCCAGGTCTCTATCAGGTACCTCCAGTCATGGTGCGCACGGCGATTTTGAGTCTTGGGAATGTGGAGCCAACCGGCCCCCTCAACGCCTGCAGCATCTCCCCTTCCCTCCCTAAGCCTCAGACCGGAACCGGAAGCAAAGGCACCACCTCCCCCACCGACCCGCAGCACCTGTTGGTTATGTTTCTAACACCAACCCACAGAATAAGACCTTTGGATTGCCCAGTGAGGACCGGAAACAACACCCTGGTTTGGCACAGGTGCGGGGACTCAGGGTAATGAATATAGTAGCAGCACCCCACCCTAAAGCTGGCCTTATTGGTCAAAGGGCAATGTGTCTTCTCTCTTTCAACAGGACACACGAAAGAAAAACTAAGACAACAATGGCTTGGAACAATTTTATTTAAAAAAAAAAAAAAAAAAAAAGGGAAGAAAGAAAAAAGAGCCACCCCATTGGGGAAGGCCCCAACTGGGCCCCTGCCTGTTCAACCTGGAGTCAGACTTCTGCATAGGTCTCAGCTGTTTGCTAGCCCAATTCCTCTTCACAGGACAGCAGCCACTGTTAAGCATCCTTCCCCCATTTCTTGATTAAGTCTGCTCCCCAGAGCCCTCGGTTGCAATCTGAACCTCAAACCCCAGCAAAAGGAAGAATCAATGGAAGCGCCAGAGTCCTGGGGCAAGCCAGAATATCACCTGTCAACAGACCTCTCTGCTGGGCACGCTACACAAGCACAAGGCAGGCCCCCACTTTAGTGTGTCCGGTATCCATCATGGAAAAAAGCCTGTGCAGACAAGCCTTTGTGTTGTGCAGGAGGAACACAGAGCCCAGGGACTGCATGGTGGCATGGGCAAGGCTGGAGGTGCATGTCCACACTGTGTCACACCACTGCAGGCTGCCTTTGTTCAAACACATGCCTTCTGACTTCCCCAGTCCTATGCCAGAGGCAGACAATGAAGGAAAGGGGTGCTGTTGTTCCTGGGCTATCTGCAGTTCTCAAGGCCCAAAGCCCCGAAGTCCCCATTAGTTGCTGTCATTCTTGATGACAACCTCTAATCCATGGTGCCGCAACTGAGCTCGGAGCAGCAGATTCTTGTTTTTAAGATCTTCCACCTGACAAAGGAAAGAGGCATGAATGGTACTGCCAAGCTGCTGAACATAGTTACATTCACTAGTAAGGAGGAAATGGTGAAATGCTCTCTACAGAGCCACAAACTGGGTCAGTGGACACAGGGTGGACAAAGGGCCTAGACTGGGTTAAAAGTCTGACCTGCTGTCGAAGGACATCATTGTCTAGCTGCAGTTGATCTAGCCCTTGCAGTTCTTCAGACAACCGATGGTTACTCTGCCGAAGCTCCTGAATATAATCACAGGCTTTGGACAGAATTCCACCTTTACTCTGTAAGCAAAGTCAACATAATAAGTACTAGGCTGTAAGATATCTAACTTGCTCTCCAAAAGTACATTCATACTTTAGATCTCATTTCCCTTCTGGATGGTGAGGGTAACATCTCCCAAAAATATGGGAACCTCAGAAAGAGATGAAAAGACTGGGCTGGAGAAGTGTCTCAAGTGGTAGAGCAACTGCTGAGAAAGAGAAATCCTTAAGCTCAAACCCCAGTACCACAACCCCTCCCAAAGAGAAAAAGAGAGAGAGAATGGGAGAGAGCGAGGTAGGGAGGGAGGGAGAGAGAGAGAGACAGAGAGAGAGAGGAAAAGATTGCCACGCTTGACCCCACTCTCTACCATTTCTGGAACCAATACCAGGAGACAAAATTCAGGCCTCCTGCCCACTACCAGGGTCTTTCCATGACCTGGCCAGACTTGGTGCTCTCCATAGAGCAGTCTGGGATGATCTTGGACAGTTGCACAATCCAGTTGTTGATTTTGTCTCGGCGGCGGCGCTCCACTGTGGGCAAAGTAAAGGACAGACAAAGTGATTCAATGAAAACACAGGCCTCAGAGTAAAATGACCAGTGACCAATACTTCTTCCCTCACACATCACTGCTTTCCCCAAACCTACTAGGCAGCTTTGGGCTTTACACCTGCATAGTACCTTACCTTCATTATGCTGAGCTCTGCGTTTCTCATCCCGAGTTGTCCGGGGAGCTTCTGATTTCCTGACAACAGAGCCGAGGGAAGCCAGAGTGAAGAAAGTTCAAAAAATAAAACTGGAGTTTGGGTTGAGGAATTACCTAAGATTTAGCAGGTATTAAGATCACCCATGGCAAGTGAGAAAAAACAAGGGTCACTCACGGGGAATAAGGGTGGGTCCTGGGGGCAATTGAGCGCTGGCTCCCTCCCTGCAATACTTCTTGTGGTGACATCATCACAAAGAACTGACCTGTGAATATGTGGAGTGGATTCTGTCAGGACTGAGGACTAGGAACCCCACCAAGGCCCTGGGACCCTTCACTGAAAAGAACATGCTCCTCCCTCCTGCTAATCGGGCAGCCCCAGACTCACTGTATGCCCAGATCTTAGCAATCAGTAAGGGTCATGTGGCTCATGGCCTCTAGCCATGTCCCACAACACCTCCAAGTAGCATTCTCATCTAATAGCTCACCAGTGCTGGGAGGAGTTGCCTGCCCCAGGAGGGCCTCTGAGCCCTGGGTAGTAACAACAGCAGCTGTACTCCCAGATGTGGCACCCCCTGCCCCATCTCCCACTGCAGTGCTGGGGAAGTAAGTATAGTGTGTCTCAGCAGCTGAGCCCTCTGTGTCAACAGCATCATCACTGGTAAATGCACCCTGGATCACCGCCTGGGAAGGGGACAGAAAACAGTCAGATACCCTTCCCTCAGTTCCACTCTGCAGGAAAGAAGGTGCAACTTCCAGAAAGAGGAGGAAAGCAAAAGCTGCCAGAAAGAGAAAGCCTAGTGCCTTGGGTCAAGGCAGCCACAGAGGCCTCACCACTTCTAGTTTTACCCCCATCCTATTGTTTCCCTTCTTCCTCTCAGTGCTCAGAGCTCTAGTCTCCTCCCCACCATACCCTGGTACCTGGGTCATAGATTGAGTGGCAGGGTAGCCACTGATGGCACCAGTGCCCTCAGTCTGGCCATCCAGCTGCCCCTCAGACACCTGGATCACCCTGTACATCACCTAGAAGCAGAGAGGAAAGGGGCAGGGTGGGCAGGGAAAGACAGAAGGAAAGAATAAATGCTGGGAATTCTAGAGACACTCATTGTTTCACTTGAACTGAGTGCCCAAACAGAACTCCTTCAGAGACACAGATTCAACCATTTCCCTTCCCCATACTGAGGCTTTAGCATACACTTATACCCCACCAATCTCTCCTCCAAACATCCTAATATCCCCCACCCCAATAATTCATATTTTCAACCCATCCTCCAAGCCAGGTCTCCCCAAGACATGTTCAAATACCTCCCTCAATCCCAACCCCGGGTTAACACCTGCAGCCACCTGGCCCCCTCCCTTACCTGGCCCCCATTCTCAGTTCGGAAGACGTACTTGACGTTGGGGTCAGGGAAGGTGGCAGCTGACTGAATACTAGCGATAGCTACACTGGTTGGGTCTTCCCCAGTAGCCACTGCACCTTAAAAGAACCACAGAAAGCCTGTGACTTTCCCACTTTTCCCCCTCTATTTTCCTTGCATGTCTTAGAAGAAGCATAATGCATAGAGACGGACTGGTCAACAAGTGAGGGCATGATGGGCTCTTGGTTTTAGTCCTGGTGTCAATACTCACCTTCCTGAATCTGCACTGTCCCCTCTTCCGTTTCAGCTGTTTTCTGCTGCCTGTTGGTGACAAGAATAAACAAATAAAACAAATAAAGAGGGGAAAAGAGAAAAGGGGGAATAGATGGTACATATTGTAAGCATGTGTGGAAATGTAATGATTCAATTCCCCCTCTGTTCAACTATTGTGGGAGCTCATTAAAATATTAAATTAAAAAAAGAAAAAAGAAGATGCAAAATAGAAGTCCTTGGTCCAGTAACATATGGCTCCCAAACAGATGCTGGGTTAGGTTAGAATACAACAACTAGTATTCACTGAGTGTTTGCCATGTACATAGGCACTAAGCCATGAGCACTTAACATGCAGTACTTTAATACTAATAACTAACATTTCCCATATTTTAAACATAGGCAAGACAAATCACACAGCAGTTAAGGGATGGAGCTGGGACTTGATCCAGGTCTGCTTAACTCCAGAGCTGGTACTCTTAGCTACTTTGCATTCTCCCAGGCCACCCTTTTCTCATCCTATTTTCTGCCCATTTCACTCACCCCTTCATCTCTCTGAGAGGGGGCACATCCAAGGAAGTAGTCCTGTGGAGGTCTTCGTATCTCCACTCACAGACCTGGTTGCTAAGTTCTTGTAGAAATCACAGAGTTTGCAGCAGGTCTAGGGAACTGAATGGTTTCCCTGATTCTAGAACCTAGACATATCCAAGAAAAGAATAAAACCATTACAGGGGACAATTGTCTCCTCTTGTCCTGCTGCAAGACAGGCTTACAGTGACTGAAAAAGCAACTCTACAAATAGTTCTTTGTCCTCTATTATCACTCCAAACCCTGGTGGGCAGGGAATAATTATACTGAGAAACAACATATTTTGGATCATTAATAAGGCTATTATGGATTATTAGTAAAGTTAATATGATCTGCCATATCAGCAGTTTCGTGGGGATTAGGAAGAGCCTATGCTTGACCACCAGTATCAAAAAAATTCAGGATAATGGACAATGATGTTTTTCCATCTTCTCAGATACAGTACAGCAAGCAATCTCTGGTCTCCAATCTAGGAAGGGAGAACTTCAAGTGCACTGCCACTCAGAAATCACCCCTAATCACAAAATCTAGACTTTGGCCTTTGTGCCATACATTACTGACACGGCTCTTGTTTGGGATATATAGGATTTATTATAGACACTGTTAAGAGACACGAAAACCCCAGCGAATCATATTCCAGCCTTCTCTATTTTAATTCATCTAGCTTTCCTGTAGAGCAACATAGTTGCTAAAATGTTGCCATGACAACTGTGACTGAGCCTCAGGAAGAAGGGAAAAACTCCAGGCTCATGAAACTGAAGGAAAAAAGACAATGGGGGAGAAATCCATCTATAAGGTACCTGCCTCAGATCCCCGACGACCACAACCATATACAGAGAAGAGAAAGAAGAGAAGAGAGAAGGAAGGAAGGAAGGAAGGGAGGGGAAGGAAGGAAGGAAAGAAGGAAGGAAGGGGAAAGAAGGAAGGAAAGAAGGAAGGAAGGCAGGCAGGCAGGCAGGCAGGCCAGGCAGACCAATGCGTTCCAAAACAAGCACTACAATGCAGAAAGACAAACCCAACCCGGAAGGAATAATCTGTTTGTGAGGTCTTTATACATAAGGTCTCCAAACCTTTCCTATCTAAAGGAAATCTTAAGTGGATAAAGTCAGGGCAAGCCCGTGGTCAAGGAAAAGGATAACAACAAAAATAAGGAACTAAAAGTGAAACCGTCTGTAGGAAGTAACGCCGCAAGACGATCCCAGCCCCTAAGAGGAAGTAGTATTAGTATTTGGGAACCCCTTAGATCCCCACCTCCGTGCGAGGCTGGCCCCACAGCACGCAAGGGAGCAGGGGGAGGGCGGAGGACAGGGAGGGGGTGGCGGGAGGGGAGTAATGAAAGACAAGGCACCGAAGGCAGCTCTGCCGCCCACAGCTGTCAACCGGACGCAGCCTCCCAGGCCACCCAACCACGGGGTCAGACTCCTTATTTAAACCCTAGCTGGCTCTCCGGAAGCATTTCCTGAGCATTAAGAATGTGACGTGGAAAGCAGGATAGGATGTTGTGCTGTGCGCGCTCAAGCAAGGGCAGCGAGCCCAGCAAGTGCCCTGGCTACGTCTGGACACAAAGAGGAGATCGAAATCAAGCGCGAAAGAATCCGGGGCGCCCAGACCTTGCCTGAGAGCGAGGCGCCTCCTGGGCAGGCCCACTGACCAGTAAGTCCTGGGGCGAAGAGCACCCGGCCGGCCGCACGAGCCGGGGAGCCAGCCCCGTGACCCTGGCGGCCCGCCGCGCCGCCCCGCGCCCCAGCTGCCCAGCCAAGGAGGCCGCGGGGGCCCGGGCCGCGGCCCGCCGCAGGGCCGCCGGGAGGGCGGCGGGGGCGCGCCCCGGCTCCCCGGGCCAGGGCGGCCCACAAAGCGGGCCAGGCACTCCCCCAGCCCCAAAACAAAGGCTTCCTCCCCGCCACCCCCTGGAATTCCCTAGCCCGAAAAGCTGGGACAGAACCCAAACTGCCGCGCCTGGAGGGTTCACTGTGTGTCCAGACTCCTCTCGGGTCCGACACTCACCCGTCAAGGCGGCTTCAGCTACCGATTTGTCCCGACTGCGTTCTCCCTCTTCGGACCGGAGAATCGCCATAGACAGCTGCTCATGCGCACTTGCAGACGGGGGCCATGTTGGTGAGGGGCGGAAGTGCCCTCGACTGGACCCGCCTACTCCTGCTGTCTGAGCTGCCCCACTTCCGCTCGCTCCATCTTGATCCGGGCTGAAAGACTACTAGGTAACAAACGAGGTCCTGGAGGTTAATACTCAAGTTTTAGCTAGAACAGGAAGGGGGCGGGGCGGGGGGGGGGGGGGGAGACCGACGTCTTCTTCCATATTGTGTTGGGACGAACCTTTTAGTTATAGAAAAAGGGACTAAGAGAAACCAACAGATCAAAGGAGGAACGGGGGGCGGGGCGGGAGAGACAGGGGCGCCATCTTTAAGAAGGGCCCTTGGAAGCCATCTTGGATCAGGGCATCGTTTTGAAAGGTTTCAAACTGAGGATACATTATAACACGAGTAGATCTGGGCGTGTTTCTTTGTTATTAGCATTGGCGGTCACTCACCCTAGAGCTTCCCTGGGCGAACTTTTTGCTCGAAGGCTCTTGATTAACATTCATTTAGGATTTTTTTTTTTTTTTTGCCAGTCCTGGTACTTGAACTCAGGGCCTGAGCACTGTCCCTGAGCTTCTTTTGCTCAAGGCTAGCATTCTACCATGTGAGCCACAGTGCCACTTCTGGCTTTTTCTGTGAATGTGGTACTGAGGAATCGAACCCAATGGCTTCATGCATGCTAGGCAAACACTCTACCACCAAGCCACCTTCCCAGCTCTAGGATCTACTCTTAATGGGTTTGGAGTAAAATAGAATTGCAAGAATTCAGACTCCATGGTCATTCAAACACTGATCTCAGCCCCACTTCTATTCTTTTTTTTTTTTTAATTAGCATACATTAGCTTATAAGGGGGGAATTTGTTTATGAACATTTCCAGATTTTTGGCAAGCATTTTACCTAACTGAGCCTTTGTTTTCTCATCTGTAAAGGGCGATATTACCAACTTTACTGAATTTTTATGGGGATTAAATACAATCAAGGGCAATTTTTATGCACATGGCAACCTATCACAAGTGAGCATTATGCAAATGTAAGTTTTTCTTCCCCATTTCCTGACCACTATGAACCCAGCTCTAATTTCTAGCCACAGGTCACCATGACAACAACTGAGGAAAAACACCCAAACAAGAAGAAAGTAAAACAAAACACTATCACTCAAGATGTTAATAAAAAGACCCCACACTACTTAAATGTAAAAATACAACTTTTATTCTGACACATCCACCTTTACTAGGGTGAGACATATGATCCCAGCCTGTATGGATAAGCAGTGCCTCAACCTGAGTGAGGTCATTTCCCTTTCTAAAATGGAAGGAAGTTATTTCAGAGGAAAAAGGAAAGGCCAAGAGAGATTTAAAAAAGGACCTCTTCTACAAGGTGCTTGAAGGCAAGGGTGGGACTAGCCCCTTCAACAAGCACCAGGGCTGCAATGAGCTGTGTTTCTCCTAATCTAGAGCTAAGATAGTCAGAGGTGTGCAAGGGGTCTAAAAACAGAACAGGGGTGTCAAATTCTGTAAGTATGTAATGGAAAGCTCTGTTATGGTCCTGTGTTTCCCACTTCTATCATGGGCTTCTATAAAGAGAGGGCCTCAGAAGAGGGCAGGCGCTTGACTGGAATTCCCCCTCCATTATTCATTATGAGAAGCCTCTTAAGTTTTCTGCCTACCCTAAGTTCCCTTTGACCACAATTTATGGGCACAAGAGCTTACTGGCTTTCTTGGGAATGTCCTTTAAGAGATAAGTGCTTCTGCCTGAGACAAGCTCAGATGGACCCACCCAGGCAGTGACTCCTATAGTAAAAAAAAAAAAAAAAATGCCGGCCACTGGTGGCTCATACTTGTAATCTTAGCTATTCAGGAGGATGAGATCTGAGGATCGCGGTTCCAAGCCAGTCCAGGCAGGAAAGTCAGTGAGACTCTTATCTCCAATTAACTACCAGAAAGCTAGAAGTTGGGCTGTGGCTCAGATGGTAGAGTGCTCGCCTTGAGCTAAAGAGCTCAGGGACAGCACCCAAGCCCAGAGTTCAAGCCCCAGGACCGACAAAAAAAAATAAAGTGGGCTGGGAATGTGGCTTAGTGGTAGAGTGCTTGCTTTGCATGCATGAAGCCTGGGTTCAATTCCTCAGTATCACATAAACACAAAAAGCCAGAAGTGCCACTGTGGCTCAAGTGGTAGAGTGCTCAGAAGAAGCAAAAGAAGCTCAGAGACAGTGCCCAGGCCCAAAGTCAAAGCCCCAGGACTGGCAAAAAAAAAGAAAAAAGTAACAGGGAGTAGGGGCTCACTGCAATTGCTCAGGTTGCAGAAGACCACTAGTTGGGGACCCCAGAGATCCACCATAACTTACTGGTACCTTTTGCCCAATATTTTGATCTTAATCACAGTTCCTCACCTTTCCCCACATTAGCCTGTGTTTCAAATGCATATGACCGGCGCTGGGGGGACAAAAGGGAGGCTGGGGGCTGGGGTTCTCTAGGGGGTAAACTAAGTCTACTCCGGGATCCAGACTCTTCCGTACCTTCAGGTGAGAGTTCCAGACAGCTAAGAGGCAGAGGAGAATGGTCAGAGATCAGGCTACAGGGGGTAGTTCTGGGGATAAGGTTATAGTTCCCACCCCCAGCACAGGTCTGGGTCCTCCGAACTCCCTGAGCCTCAGTCTTCTGGCGGTCCCGGGCCAGTGCCACAGCAGCATCAAAAGAAAGACTGCCTCCATTCCTCCAAGCCCTGGAACTCCGAGCTCTTTCCCCAAGAGTTCCATCAAGCCGACCAGGTCTTGGACATGGGTTTGCAGGTGCCACGTGGATCTTACTACTCATTAGGCTGGGCATCTTGGCAAACTGTGGTTTAGGGGGCACTACAGGCACAGAGCGGACCTGTTGGACCTGAACCAAGGTAGAAGCCAGGCGCATGCCCACACCACCAGCTAAACTAAAGGGACAGGGAAACAGGTCACAGCACTGAGGAATGGGTTGTCCAGGCTCCATCTCCTCTGGCTGTAGGACTGCCTGTTCCATCTCAGAAGAATGTGCTTTGGTACTATCAACCTCCAAGTACTCTGTACCAGGCCCTTCAGAGAGGGCTTTCTCTCGTAAATTGTCACCTCCAGCCCTTAGATATGCTTCAGATCCATCCCCACTTTCTCTTTTCTGACTGACCTCCCCTTCTCTTTCAGCTGCTGCTTCTGGGCTTCTGCTGTCTTCACCATGTCCTTGGTCATTGCTTACCTTGTGGTTCCCACTCCCCTTTTGTCCTTGGATCTCATCCTTCCTGCCTCCCTCAGCCTCTTGCTTGTCAATAACTTCCCAACTCTCTTCAGCAACTAGATATTCCTGGACACCATACTCTTGATCCCTTCCAGCTTCCACTGGTACATCCTGTCCTTCTTGCTTGTCCTCTTCTCTCTCACTCCCCCTCTCCTTCTCCTTATCTGTATCCTGTTCTCTTCTTGGCTCCTCTATACCCTTAGCCTTCTCTATACTTCCAACCTCCTGATCTTTAGACTTCTCTTCTGTGACTTCTATCTCTTCCCTACTCCCTTCATTTAAACCAATCATCGTCTTTTGGCTTCCTCCAGCCTCCTCTCCTTCCTCATCAGCCCTTCCATCTTCCATCTCAGTCTCTGGAATTCCCTCAGTTTTTTCCCTGTTGTCCAGTCTGCTTCCAGGCTCAGCCTCCTTATCCTCCCCACCCTCCCAGAATGCCCATTCTTCTTCAGCTTGTCCTGAAGCTTGTCCTTCATAACCTGCTGCCTCTTCCTCCAGACTCCCTCTGCCCTTCCAGGTAGGAGGTTTGGGCTCCAGAAGGGGACTTAGGTCATCATAGGCACTCAAGAAAACTTCCTCTCCATTTTCCTCCTCTACATCAGGCCTTGGGCCCACAGAGTCCAAGGAACAGCAGCTGGGAGCTAGGACATATGGTGCATCATCCAGAGACAGGTCATCCAAGGGTGGCTCCACAGAGAACTCCTCCACCTGTGGATGCAGCATTGTGGTTCAGGACCAGGTAGCCCCACTACGTTCTGGATTCCACACCACCCTCAAACCCAGCATAGCAACTTCTTACCTGAGATGCAACTCCCAGGAGCTCCTCTAGGTAGCCCATCCCAGAGTCTTCCTCCCCAGGGGAGAAAGATGCTCCTGCTGCTCCTGACTCGGCCACCTTCCCATCCTCTGCCCCCACCCACTCAGGCTCTGAGATGCTCAAGTCCTCTAGGAAGGAGAAGGTATCTTGCACCTCCTGGGACAAGGAGTCCTCCAGGGCAGGAGTCATGTCCCCTGGGCCTGGGTCAGCCACAGGACCTGGGGCTGGTCTCGCCTCTGATTTCTCATCTGTTGAGAAAAAAGTAGTCCCAGGAATACAAAAGTCAAAGCCAGCAATTGTCTTCCTATGCAGATCTTCTTAGCATTGATATGATAATGGCCCAATGTTCTCAACATAGATACTCCACAGGGCTCATTTTCTCATACCAATATCCTTAACCACTGGCTTATCGCTACATATATTGAGTATTGGCCAAGAGCCAAACACTGTATTCTACATTTTCCAATGGATTTTCTTATTTTATCTACAAAATATATTGTATTGAGTATTGTCCTCATTTTATATACAGTGTAATTGAGGATTATAGAGATTAAGCAACTTGTCTAGAGATAGCCTGTTAATAGCTGCCACAGCCAAAATTTGAACCTAAGTCTAGTTAAGTCTATAGCCCATGTTGTTACCCTCTACCATATGTTTCCTCGGGACTTCTTGTCAGTAACACTTTGGGAACAGGAATCAGAGGGAAATATCAGGTCCTAGTTCCATTTCTTTCTACCTAAATTGATAGCAAATTACTTAACCTGTCTTAGGCTCCACTGCTGTAATATAAGTATTACAACAGTACCTATGCCATAAGATTATGAGAAAAGGGGCTGGAAAGTGGCTCAGTGGTAGAGCGCTTGCCTTGCATGCCTGAGGCCCTGGGTTCAATTCCTCAGCACCACATAAGCAAAAAGAAAAAAGCCAGAAGTGGGGCTGTGGCTCAAGTGGTAGAGCACTAGCCTTGAGCTGAAGAGCTGAGGGACAGTGCCCAGGCCCACAGTTCAGGCCCCACGACTGGACTCCCCCCCCCCAAAAACAAAACAAAACAAAAGATTATGAGAAAATATGTGCCCTTGGCACACAGTAAGCCTTCAGTAAATGGTAGCTGTGAGTATTAATGTTACAAAAATTATTATCGTCATCTATAAGATAGTTCCATACTGCCCTGAGTGAATCCCTGTTGTATACATCTGACACAGACCCCTATATTGGGGACATCAGTGAGATGAAGGCCGTTAAAGATCCTTCTGTCTGTGGCTTTCACACAACCTGATAATATTACTAGATTCAGCAACCCTAAGTCCAGGGAAGAAGCTGAATCCCGTATACCCTAATCTACCCTAAATCCTAAGGGCTGAAGCCTATGACTCTCCCAAGTGTTACCTCAGCATCAAAACTTCAGCCTAAAACTAGCTCCTTTTCTAGTTCTGGACAATTCCTGTGTTCTTACCTGGGGGGCCAGGACCAAGGCCAGGACCAGGGCCAGGACCAGAAGCAGGGTTTGGCCGGGGCTGTAGGGCAGGACACTCAAGGCCACGAGTGAGCCTGGCCAAGGAAACATTAGAGATGATGTTTGGAGGCACGCTGAGGATAGAGGTTATGTGTGATGGGAGGTTGATATTGTAAGGTTCTGAGATGTGGACACCAGCACAGCGCTCTGCACGGCTGCCGCCTCCAGCCTGGGTGGCTGATCGCCCAGCTTGGGGTGTGCCTGGCTCAGAGTTCTTGCCACCTAGCACTTCCACTGGTTCACCTTCAACTGCTTCCATAGAATCATTTTCCAAGCTCTTGGATAGCAATGGGTCAGATTGGGGACAACTGGAGTCTACCAGCCCCTCTGGCTCTGTGGAAGAGAGAAAGAAGGCCAGGTAGTCAATAGCCTCAGGTACAAGGGACCTAGATGCCTCCGGGAGCCTTCAGAGAATGCTTTCTGATTTCTTGGCCTCAGAGACGGAAGATACCATGCCTAACTTCTCTTAGCCACTACTCAAACCCTCCACCCAGCCAACAGGTATGCATACCTAGGGAACCCCCATTCCTGCCTGCAGATACAGTCAGTTGTTATCACTACCATATACATACACTCCACACAGCCTCCTCATATACACTTGTGAAGATTAAATATAAAAAAATAAAGCCGGGCGCTGGTGGCTCACACCTGTAATACTAGCTGCTCAGGAGGCTGAGATCTGAGGATTGCGGTTCAAAGCCAACATGGGCAGGAAAGCCTGTGAGACTCTTGTCTCCAATAAACCACTAGAAAACCGGAAGTGGCGCTATAGCTCAAGTGGTAGAGTGCTCACCTTGAGCTGAAGAGCTGAGGGACAGTGCCCCAGCCCAGAGTTCAAGCCCCACAACCGACTAAATAAATAAATAAACACTCACGAGCACACACATAAAATACACAATAGACCCATCGTTGCAAACTATTAATGTGGCTGACATATAACAGGTATTCTTTAAATATTTTTGAAATAACAACACACACACATGCAATAGTTATTGACACACACAGCCTATGCTATCGCTTTCACAGCACACATGTGAACACACCCACAGGAGTACACACTCACCATCACTGGCTCCAGTTACCGCACTCAATGAGTCCATGCTTTTGGCTGGCCGCAGAGTCCCTTTATTGGATTTGTCCTCTGTAAGATAGGGATGTGTGTAGATCCAGTGTCTTGCACCCCTTTGGCAGAATTCCCCCATGTCTCAAGACTTACCCCTGTCCTCAGCCCCTCGTGGAAGTTTACGCTTTGTCTCATGGCCAGAGCGACCCAAATTGAAGATAGATCTCCACTTTCTAACCTTCAAAGATCCCTTCCTCCTGCAAATGATAGAGAAATAATTGATAATGAGAGTCTGGTGGTCAGCACAGAAAAAGAAGACCCTTGAAGAGATCTTACTTGTGTTCTGCAATCTCAATGATAGTGTGGTATGGACGGATCTGTGGGGGCCCATCACCAGCCTGCAGAACACTAGGCAGGGAGTAGGGTAGAGACCTGGGCATGAGATCCTCAGGGCTACCTGACATTCGGGCCCCTGGAAGAGACTGCCATCCACTCTCTACTTCTCCATCACCTAGAAACAGAAAAGGAAATGAATAGCCAAGAATAGAGCCAAGAGAGGACATCAGGTACCAAACACTTCATCCTTTCTCCCCAACTACCAGGCACAGTAGTTGTTATACCTAGTATATATTCAGAAGTACATGGAGATAGTCTCTCATTGTCCAGTTCCTCAAGAGGTGTTCTCATGAACAAAGAGGATCAGCAGATCCCAAGACTTTGGCCTGGTGGGCTGGGTTATGATTCACAGGTCAAGCTATGCCCTGGGCTGACAGCAGAAGGGTTCTGCACTCAAGTCCTGGCTGCATTATTATCTATCCAAAGCCCCCTTTTTTGTCAGTTATGGGGCTTGAATTCAGAGCCTGTGTGCTGTCCCTGAGCTTTTTCACTCAAGGATAGTGCTCTGCCACATTGGGCCACAGCAGCACTTCTGGTTTTCTGGTGGTTAACTGGAGATAAGAGCCTCACGAACTTTCCTGCCCAGGGTGGCTTCCAACCTTTATCCTCAGATCCTAGCCTCTGATTACTTAGCCTAGGATTACAGACAGGCGTGAGCCACCAGCACTTGGCTTTCCAGAGCCCACCCTTTCTACATGATCATTACCAATATCTCTCTATGGGACTGTTTTCCCATTGAAAAACCAAACTAGTTAATCATTGAGGCTCTCTTTAACTCTGACATGATTCCCCAGAGTGATTTGTGGGTAGGAAGGATACTGACCAGAGAGGGCAGCACCTCCAAAGAGCTGGTCCACATGGGTGAGGACGAACTCGACGACAATGGACTGCACACGCACCTCCATGAAGGCTGCTGTCCCATTGAAGCCTGAAGCTTCTATGTCCTTAGACCTGTGAAGATATAGAGTTATTCTCCCCCCAAGTCCCATCACACTTTTCAGTCTAAACTATTCCTACAATATTTCCATTCTCCCCCTCTCGGGTCTTTAACTCTATCTCTATCTCTTAAGTCATAGGTGTGACGAGTTTCAAAGGCCATGTCCTGCTGGGCACTGTCAGTAATCTTAATTACTTAAGGGACTGAGCTCTGAGGATCCTGGCTCAAAACCAACCAAGGCAGAAAATCCCATGAGACTTTTATCTCCAGTTAGCCAGAAAAAAGCTACAAGTGTGACTCAAGTAGAAGAGTGCCAGCCTTCAGCCAAAAAAGCTAAGGGACAGGGCATAGGCCCTGAGTTCAAGCCCCAGCAGCAGTACAAAAAAGAAAAAACACTACTTCCTCTAGGAAGCCTTCTTAGACATATTCCTCAGGAATAATCTCTGCTTTATTTGCATACATCCTTACACTGTGATACTGGGCAGACTATGAGAGTAGTTTCACATCATAGCGCTTTGTTCAAGTGTGATACACAGTCAGGTTCTCCACTAGATTGTAAGACATTTATTTGCTCAACAAATATTTGGCAAGGACCTATCAGGTCTGATCCCTAAGCTCAGCTACAATGTAGGAAAACACAAAGGCTTTGTCCTCAGGGACTTATCTCAGAGAAGACTCGAATGTGTGATCCCCATCCCACTCAATGGGAATTCTGAACCTTCTTTACTCACTGAGTTTCACAAGACTCCTCTACACCCCTCTCCAGTGTCCCCACACAGCCACACCCATCTTGGTACATCTTGCTACAGTGAGATTAGGCTAATCTCTCCCTGCCCACTGCTCATGCACACACCCACCTCAGCAGGTTGGGGGCCCATACAATGGCCAAGTTGCGGGCATGCATGTTGGTCTGGGCACTGAATGAAGCCATGTACACCAAGTGTCGCATAAGGAATTCCAGAGTTCTGCAGAAAGAAGGGCACAATTGCACAGGAAACACCTGGGGCTAAGGTCAGGCTAAGACCTGGTGGCTCACAGGGGGACAAGCATGGCTCTAGTAGAGAGTGATTGGCCAGTAGGCTGGGATGAGATAGGGTTTCTGAAGTATAGGAAGAGCCCTGCTTACCTGTAGTTTGGAACAGGGAGTTCTCGAAGCACCTCCAGGATCTTGACTAAGCGTTCAGGCTCTAACTGCACTGCCACAGCCTCCTGATTGTAGACGGGTACAGACTCAGTAACAGGATTCACTCCACCCTCCCTATCCTCAGAACTCCAAACTAAACCCTTAGGAATAATCTTTGTTGTACTCTACACTGCCTCCACCTGGATCTTCAGGGCATAGTAAAGAGTGCTTGCCCAGTATACATGAAGCCCTGGGTTCAATTCCTCAGTACCACATAAACAAACAAACAAAAAAAAAGGCAGATGTGGCACTGTAGCTCAAGTGGCAGAGTGCTAGCCTTGAACTCAGAAAGGCTCGGGCACCGTGCCCAGGCCCTCAGTTCAAGCCCCAGGACTGGCAAAATAAAAAAGAAGAAAGAAAAAAACAAGCAAGCAAGAAAGAAAGGAAAGACAAGGTTTTGCTATGTTGCCCAGACCAGTTACAAACTCCTGGATTTGAACAATCTGTTTCAGCCTCCCAAGTAGCTGGAACCTATTTTTAAGGTGTTACTTATAGAAAAAGCAAAGGAAGGGGTGACATTGCCCAAAAAAGAAAAAAGAAAGAAGAAATGTGCTCATTACCTGACTTATAAAATGCTAATCCTTCTGTACAACACTTTAATAATAACAATAAAAAATTATATTTAAAAGAATAAGAGTACATTTTTTTGGTTAGTTGTGTGGCCTGAACTCAAGGCTAGTGCTCTACCACTTGAGCCACAGCACCACCTCCGGCTTTTTCTGCTTATGTGGTGCTGAGGAATCGAACCCACGGCCTCATGCATGCAAGCCAAGCACTCTACCACTCAGCCACCTTCCCAGCCCCTAAAAGTACAATTTTAAAGAAGCATTACTCACTTCAGGATACAATTTTTGTCCTGTGTTTTATCATGCAAAAGATGTCTGACATACAATTATAGTTAATGGGGAGGCACCCTAGAAAAACTAGCAATTGGGGCTGGGAAGGTGGCTCAGTGGTAGAGTGCTTGCCTTGCATGCATGAGGCCCTGAGTTCGATTCCTCAGCACCACATAAACAGAAAAAAAAAAAAAAAAACAGAAGTGGCACTGTGGCTCAAGTGGTAGAGTGCTAGCCTTGAGCTGAAGAGCTGAGGGACAGCGCCCAAGCCCAGAGTTCAAGCCCTACAACTGACAAAAGAAGAAAGGAAGGAAGGAAGGAAGGAAGGAAGGAAGGAAGGAAGGAAGGAAGGAAGGAAGGAAGGAAGGAAGGAAGGAGAGAGAGAGAAAGAAAAGAAAGAAAGAAAGAAAGGGCTGGGAAGATGGCTCAGTGGTAGAGCGCTTGCCTTGCGCCTGAGGCCCCTGGGTTCGATTCCTCAGCACCACATAAGCAAAAAGAAAAAAGCCGGAAGTGGTACTGTGGCTCAAGTGGTAGAGCGCTAGCCTTGAGCTGAAGAGCTGAGGGACAGCGCCCAGGCCCAGAGTTCAGGCCCCACAACCGGACCCAAAAAAGAAAGAAAGAGAGAGAGAGAGAGAGAGAAAGACTAGCAATTTTCAAAAAGCATAAGGAAGCAATTTCTTAAGTGTAAGGAAGCTCTGGTCTAGGTACTTTCCAAAGCTGTCCAGCTCTGACAATCTGGCCTTTCCCTCCCCAAGTCTTTCCAGCACACTGTATGCTGTCTGTAGGCCTGAGGAGTAGAACCCAGACAAGGCAGAATGAAGAAAGGAGGGGCAGGGTGGGAGTAGGGTCACAGAGTTTCAGAGGAGAAGGGATCTTTCCCTCAGTAATGCATTACTATAGCCCCACTTTTTTAGGATCCCTGGGATTACAACTGCCCCGTGACATGCCTGGGTGTCCAACAGGAGTGGCTGTCCCTGAGCCCCGACTTCCAGCCCTCTTTCTCAACTCACAGCAAATTTGTCATAGAGTCGGTAAGTGAGCAGGGGATCTGGTAGTTCTCTGAAATAGGCCTTGCACAAGGAGGAGACGCAATGAATGTCCTGGAGGAATACATCCCGCCGCAGGTCTGGCTTCCGCTCTGTCTCAAATTCCTGCCTGGGGAGGTGCAGAGTGGTCAGAAGTGGTAGGGGTCAGAGGAATTATGAGGAGCAGTGGGAGCTGTAAAGATGAACTTCAGACAGGGCTATTTATCAACATGTGTGAAACTGAAGTACATGCATGCATACATATACATACACACAAACATGTGCATACATATATACATATATGTATATGTGCTTAGATATGATAGCAAGAACACAAGCAAGAAAAAAATAGATAAATTGAACATCCAACTAACCTTGAACAAAAAAGCCAAGCAAGAATGTGAGACTCTGGGTTTAAGTCCTAGTACTGACATGAGTGTGTGAGCCCTCACATCTACACACACACACCACAGTGAAGACACGCACAGAATGAGAGAAAATATTTACCAATCATATGTTTGATTAGGGTCTATTATTCAGGACATAGAATTTTTCTTGTAACTTAACATTAAAAATAAATACAAAAAACAAAACCAAAAAGAAACACCAGGCTGGGTATAAACCTATAAACCCAGCAGTTTGGAAGCCAAGATTGAAGACTTGTGGGTTTGAGACCAGCCTGGGCTATATAATGAGACTCTGTCCCAAAAATTCAAAAACAATTTTTTATCCAGTGGGTAAAGGATTAAATGGGCATTTGTCAAAAGGAGAAATACAAATAGGCTTATTAGCCCAGGAAAAGATATTCCACATCATTAGTTCCTAGGAAGACAAAAGTATAAATCACAATGAAATACAGGCTCATTAGCTACTAGAGAATACAAGTACAAATCACAATGAGGTCTCAGTTCACACCCACAAGGATGGCTATAAATCAAAAAAATACAGTAACAACCATTGGCAGGGATGTGGAGAAACTGGAAATTTTCTGTCAGCTGACTCAGACATAAATGACACACAGCTGTTATCGAAAACAGTTTGGCAGTTACTTAGAAAGTTCAGCAAGAAGTTACCACGTGATCCAGCTTTTCTACTCAGTGGTATATACTCCAAAGAACTGAAAATAAATGTTCACAAAAACTTGTGCATGTTTATTGAGGAATTATTCATAATAGCTAAGTAGTGGAAACAACCCAAGTAGCCATCAACTAATGAATGTGTAAATACAATGTGATGTAGTTATACAATGGGATAGTATTCGGCCAGAGAAAAATGAAATGAGGGCTGGGAGCATGGCTCAAGTAGTAGCGCATCTGCCTAGAAAGTGTGAGTCAGTTCGAACCCTAGTATCTCGAAAGGAAGGAAGAAAGGGAGGGAAGGAAGGAAACAGGGAGGAGGGAAACAGAAAGGGATTGAAGGAGGGAGGGGAAGGAGGTATGAGGGAGAGAAGGAAATGCTGATACTTGTTACATCTTAGGACTGGGGTGTTGCTCAAGTGCTAGAGCACCTGCCTAGCAAGCTTGAGGTTCAGTCCAATCTGTAGACTGCAAAAACAACAACAAAAAACTCAACAAACATGAACCTTTAGAAAACCTTCTAAGTGAAGAGCTAGATATACAAATACACATATTGTATCATGTCTATGAAATCTTGAAAATAGACAAGTCCATAGAAACCAGAAGTTGAATTAGTTGTTTCCCAGGACTAGAAGGGAAATGAATGGAAAGTTTCTGTTAATGGGTTCAGGGTTTCTTTTGGAGATACTGAAATATTTTGGAATTTGATAGTGGTGATTATACAATATATATTTAAAAATCCACTGACTTGTACTTTTTCTTTCTCCAGTACTGAGGTTTGAACTCAAGACCTTGCATTTGCCAGGCAGTTGCCCCAATCTTTTTTTTGCCTTAGGTATTTATTTTTATTTTTTGGGGTCCAGTCGTGGGGTCTGAACTCTGGGCCTGGGTGCTGTCCCTCAGCTCTTCGGCTCAAGACTAGCGCTCTACCACTTGAGCCACAGCACCACTTCCGGCTTTTTGCTTTTTGCTTATGTGGTGCTGAGGAATTGAACCTAGGGCCTCATGCATGCAAGGCAAGCGCTCTACCACTGAGCCACCTTCCCAGCCCTGCCTTAGGTATTTTTTGAAAAGTGTCTCCATTTTGTTCCTTGATCCTCCTTCTTAAGCTTTCTTTTTTTCTTTTTTCTTTTCTTTTCTTTTTTTTTTCTGTTGTTGTCGGTCATGGGACTTGAACTCTGATCTTGGGCGCTGTCCCTGTGTTCTTCAGCTCAAGGCGAGTGCTCCACTGCTTGAGCCACAGTACCACTTCCGGTTTTCTAGTGGTTTATTGGAGATAAGATTCTCACAGACTTTCCTGTATGGGCTGGCTTGGAACCTCGATCCTCAGATCTCAGCCTCCTGAGTAGCTAGGATTATAGACGTGAGCCACCGGCGCCCAGCCTTAGGCTTATTATGTTGCTGAAATTGTAGGCATGCATGGCAATGCTCAGTCTTTATTGACTGAGATGGGTGTCTTACAAACAAACTTTTGCTCAAGCTGGCTTCAAACCATTATCTTCCCAATCTCAAATAAATAGGATTACAGGAATAAGCTACTATGTCTGGCTTGACTTGTCATTTTTTTCTTAGTTTTTGTTTGTTTGTTGTTATGTGCTGGTACTGGGGCTGGAGCTCAGGACCCAGATGCCATCTCTGTTTATTCCCTCAAAGCTAGTACTCTACAACTAGAACCACAGCTCCACTTCCAGCTTTGGGGGGGGGGGGGGGGTATGGGGAGTAGTTAATTGAAGATACAAATCTTAGGGACTTTCCTGCCTGGGCTAACTTTGAACCATAATCCTCAGATATTGGTTTCCTGAGTAGCTAGGACTATATGTATAAGCTGACGTTACCCAGCTGTTTTGTTTAGTTTATTTTGTTTGTTGGAGGTATTGATTTTGACTCAGGCCTTGAACTTACACAGTTTGCTTGCTCAGCTGGCATTCTACCACTTGAACCATGCCCCCAATCCTGCTTTTTACTGATTATTTTGTCAATGGAGTCATAAACATATCTGTCCAGGCTAGTTTTGAACCTTGATCCTCCAGATCTCAGCCTCCTGAGTAACAAGGATTACAGGATGTGACGTACAGGCTCCTAGCTTGACTTTATATTTTTAAATTTAATTTAATTAAGTTTTTTTTTTTTTTGCCAGTCATAGCACTCTACAACTTGAGCTACAACCTCACTTCTGGCTTTTTGTGGCTAATTGGAGATAAGAGTTTCTCAGAGTTTTCTGCTCTGGCTGGTTTCGAACAGCACTCCTCAGATCTAAGCCTTCTGAGTACCTAGGATGATGAGCATGAGCCATCAGTGCCTGGCTTTGACTTACATATTTTTAAATGATGAGCTTTAGGGCTAGATCAAGTGGTAGAATTCTTACCTAGCAAGTGCAAGGCCCTGAGTTCAAACCCTACTATCATCAAATAAATGGTGATTATGTGTATATGGGAGTGGTTTATGTGGTTCTCCGTGTTGGAGGAGTAGGGCCAGTGATCTCTCCCTTGCCTGAGGAGACATTAGCACCCCTCCTTACCCCTCCCTAGAACAATACCTAGCATCTCTGCTTCCTTCTCCCCCTTCTCCTCCCTCTTATCTGTTCTCCCCAGCATCTCTTACCATGGCTCTCTGGCTCCCTGATCTCCATGCCACAGAGCTTTCCACTCTGACTCACCGGAGCTTCTGGATGTTAGAGGAGACCCCTGAGAGGCGGTATATCCCATCCACTACTCCATATTCCTCCACAAACTCTGCACAGCTCCTTAGAACCTGAGGCACTGAGAACAGACACAGGCAGAAAAAAAGGAAATCAGCAAGTTTGAGAGGCTAGACACTATATAGGGTCTGAGGAATAGAAGGACCATGGAAGGGAGTTCAGGGAAATTGAGGGTGAAGCTTATGGAATAAAGCTTGTCAGCAAGGTCATCAACTCCAACCTGTCAATCTCTGCAGAGCATCTCTTACCCCTTGGTCCTAGAGCATGGGCATAAACCCCTGCAGTGCTTCTTTACATTGCCCATTCCTTCCTTACTAGCTGCTACTCCAGAATTTTAAAGGGGACAGCAATCTGAGGAGGCAAAGTCAAGGACTGGTCCTCAAAGTACATTCATGGAACTAAGACTCTACATAAGATGAAAGAAAGCCGGGCGCTGGTGGCTCACGCCTGTAATCCTAGCTACTCAAGAGGCTGAGATCTGAGGATCGTGGTTCAAAGCCAGCCTGGGCAGTAGAGACCGTGAGACTCCTATCTCCAATAAACCACCAGAAAACCGGAAGTGGCGCTGTAGCTCAAGTGGTAGAGCGCTCACCTTGAGCTGAAGAGCTGAGGGACAGAGCCCAGGCCCAGAGTTCAGGCCCCACGACCGAAGGAAAAAAAAAAAAAAAGATGAAAGAATATTAGTTTTCCCAAATAAAATGGACCAGGCTGAAGGGAATTATTTTGAGGCATCTCCCCCATTATATAAGAAAGCTTGTGGCTATTTATTCTAAAATAGGAAAGTACAAGACATAGTGGCCAACCTTCAAATGGATCAATTCAGAGGAGAAACACGTGTGTGTCCAGCCCTGAGCTAACTGCTTTAAGCATGTGCTATTATTTCGTTTTGTAAATTAAATCTTCTAGTTTCCATTTTACAGAAAAAACTAAGACTCAAGGAAGAAAGAGCTGAGACATTCATGCCTATAATCTTAGCTACTTGGGAGGCTGATATCTAGAGATCACAGTTCAAAGCCAGTCAGGGCAAGAAAGTCCTTGAGATGCTTGTCTCCAAATAACCACAAAAAGAAAGCTGGAAGTGGAGTTGTGGCTCAAGTGGCAGAGCATTAGCCTTGAGCACAAAAACCTCAGGAACAGTGCTCAGATCTTGAGTTAAAGCCCCAGGACCAGCACCAAAAAAGAGGAGGGGCTGGGAATGTGGCTTAGTGTTAGGCTGCTTGCCTAGCATGCATGAAGCCCTGGGTTTGATTCCTCAGTACCACATAAACAGAAAAAGCCAGAAGTGGTGCTGTGGCTCAAGTGGTAGAGTGCTAGCTTTAATCAAAAGAAGTTCAGGGACACTACCCAAGCCCTGAGTTCAAGCCTCACGACTGGCAGAGAGAGAGAGAGAGACAGAGACAGAGAGACAGACAGAGGGACAGAGAAAGACGGAGAGAGACAAGAGACAGAGAGACAGGAGAGACAGAGACAGACAGAGAGACAGAGACAGAGAGGAAAAGGAGGGGTAAGGAAGGGGGAGGGGGAGGAATTATGCTCAGCAATACACAGCTAGAGCCAGGATTCAAATCCAAGAGAGAGAAAAAAATCGCCAGGCTCCAATGGCTCACGCCTGTAATCCTAGCTACTCATGAGGCTGCGATCTGAGGATCGAGATTCAAAGCCAGCCAGGCCAGGAAACTGTGAGACTCTTATCTCCAATAAACCACTAGAAAACCGGAAGTGGCGCTGAGGCTCAAGTGGTAGAGGGCTCACCTTGAGTTGAAGAGCTGAGGGACAGCACCCAAGTCTAGAGTTCTAGCCCTACAACCAACAAAAAAAGAAAAAGAAAAGAGAGAGAGAGAAAAATCTGTTCTCTCTCCTGACCCTTCCTGTAAGTTCCTTAAGACAAGATCAAAATGTGCTTCATCTTTGTGTTCCTCATTTCTGACATAATGTCAGATATGATAGAGATTCCAAAACCATATGTGGAATCACAGCTCCTAAAGGCCACGTAGTTATCTTTCTGAATCACTTCCTGCTTTAAATATTTTCTTACACAATACACACCTAGCCCCACCCTACCCAAATATGCATTGCTTCCTTTGCAGATAATGAATAAAACAGAAACTCTTAAGCCAAGCCCGGGTGACCCACGTCTGTAATTCTAGTTACTTAAGAGGCTGAGATCCCAGTTCAAAACTAGCCCAGGCAAGAAAGTCCATGAGATGCTCATCTCCAATCAACTCCCCAAAAATGTAAAGTGGAGGTGTGGCTCAAGTAGTAGAGTGCCAGCCTTGAGCAGAAAAGCTAAGGGATAGTGCTCAGGTTCTGAGTTTAAGCCCAAGTTCTAGCAAAAAATAAACAAACCCTCCTTATATATCAGTCTGATATATAAGAACTAGGTCTAGCTGCCATGCAATTCTCAGTAAATTCATTAATAAGTCCTACACTCCAACCTTCTGCTAGTCCATGAGCAAGCCTTGGTACCATCAGCTAATACTGTCAGTCAGATATGTTTTGTCCCTCAAACAACTGTATTTGATTGGAGATGTGGTTCAAGTGATAGTTTATCAATAGTGAGCAAGCAAGCCAAGCAAGAACTCAGGGCCTTGAGTTCAAACTCTGGTACTGGCAGTGGTGATGGGGGAGAGGGGAGAAGATGGACAGATGGACATAATTTCATTTCTGTTTTGTTTTGTTTTTGAGAGTCTTGCTATATAGCACAAGTTGTCCTAGAACTAAATATATAGGTCAACCTGGTTTACCTCTTACCTTACCTCCCAAGTGATGGGATTACAGCTATGCTTTATCAAGCCCAGCAACGTTAGCTCTTAGGAGTAGATTAAATCTGTGTGAGGGGGAGAGAGTGAGAGAAGGGGTGACACTGTCCAAAAAGAAGTGTCCTCATCACCTGGCTCATGTAACTGCAACCCCTCTGTATACCACCTTTATAATAACAATAAGAAGTTTCAGAAGAGGGTGGAAATGAGGCTCAGTGGTAGAGTGCTCGCCTAGCATGCATGAACCTGGGTTCGATTCTTCAGTACCACATACACAAAAAAACCCAGAAGTGGTTCTGTGGCTCAAGTGGTAGAGTCCTAGCCTTGAGCAAAAGAAGCTTAGGGACAGCCCTGAATTCAAGCCCCAGAACTGGAAAAAAAAATTTTTTCGAAAGAAATTTTTAACAATACATAAAATCTTGTGGTACTGAATGGCTGTGAGAAGCAAGGCTATACCTGGCTTCTTCTGTACACAGTCATTTCCCTTTCCAGATTTCTAATGTGATTTTGCCAGGAGGCCCTTGCAAAGACGCTAGAACTGTGCTATTTGGACCTTCCATCCACCAGAACTGTGAGCCAAATAAACTTCTTTACATTGTAAATTATTCAGTCCAGGTATTTTGCTATAGATGGACTAAGAGGCAGACATCTGTAGCTCATGCTTATAATCCTATCTGCTCAGGAGACTAAGGTCTGAGAATCTGGGTTTGAAGCCAGCTGGCCAGTAAAGTCTGTGAGACTCTTATTTCCAGTTAATCACCAAAAAACCAAATAGAGCTATTGTTCAAGTGGTAGAGGGCTAGTCAAGCAAACAAAAGCTTAGAGACAGCAGCACCCTGCCCCTGATTTCAAGACCCAGGATTGGCACCCAAATAAATAAATAAAATAAAATAAAAATGGACTAAGACACTTGTTATTCTCTTGTGTGAAAATGCCCTGCCCTCTGACTCTACCTGGTAGACTCCTATACATTCCTCAAAAGACATCTCAAACATCACCTCCTCATTGGGCACAGTAGTACATGCCTATCGTCCTAGCAACTTTGTAGGCTGAGTAATAGATTCCTTTGAGCCCAGGAATTTAGGACTTGGTAGGACAACATAATGAGACAAAACATCAAACAACACAAAATATCTCAAAGAAAACAAAACATCATCTTTAATTCTGAGTCCTTTGCTTATATCTGTAGTACAGTTCCCACAGTCCTTTAGTCTGTTTTATAGCACTTAATATATACTTTGTTCTAATTAGTTTCTTTAGTACCTACACCTCTTGACAATTGGTAGCACCCTCTCAGCAATTAGCACAGAGATGAAATAGACCAGGTACTCAATAAATGTTTGTTAAAAGATTTAGTGAATTAAGCCAGTTGCTTGTGGCTCACGCCTGTAATCCTAGCTACTTAGTTTGCTAAGACCTGGAGGGTAGAGGTTTGAAGCCAGTCCAGGCAGAAAAGTCTATAAGATTCTATCTCCAAAATAACCAGAAAAAAAAAAAAAAGCCAGGTTAGGAGGTGTGGATCAAATTGTAGAGTGCCAGCTGAGTGAGCAAGCAAAGAAGCTGTATAAGAGGAGAAAAATAAATTTAAAAATCCTGGTGCTGTAATCCTAGCTACTCAGGACGCTAAAATCTGAGGATTATGGTTCTAGCAGGAAATTCTGTGAGATTCTTATCTCCAATTAATCACAGAAAAAGCTGGAAGTAGGGCTGAGGATCAAGTGGCAGAGCACTAGCCTTGAGCAAAAAATGCTTAGGGACAGCACCCAGGCTCAGAGTTCAAGCCCCAGGACCAGAAAAAAAAAAAAGACAATGAATTCATTGATCAGTTCTTATGAACCACTGACATCCTTGGAAATTTGGTAAAGAATATTGCCTAGTACAAAGTATTTTAGTTCCTATTAACTGGGACTCACCAGAGAAATCCCTCTCATGTGTCAGTATCAAAAAAAAGCTGTTTAGGGGCTGGGAAAATGGCTCAGTGGTAGAGCACTGCCTTGCATGCATGAGGCCCTGGGTTCGATTCCTCAGCACCACATAAGCAAAAAGAAAAAAGCCAGAAGTGGTGCTGTGGCTCAAGTGGTAGAGTGCTAACCTTGAGCTGAAGAGCTGAGGGTCAGCATTCAGGCCCCAGAGTTCAGGCCCCACGACTGGACCCAAAAAATTTTAAAAAAAAGCTGTTTATTCCATATCACATTTTTTTTTCTTATAGGGCTTATTAATCTTGCATTACTATATTTACCTTTCAAATCTCTACAAAGTTCAGAGCCCATCTCTCGGGACTACAAAGAAGAACCACCTGAGATTCTTTGTCACGAGTAACAACCAAACCAGATATTCCCTTGTCAATTGATTTTGAACCTCCAGAATAATTTTTTTTTCTTTTTGGGTTTGAACTCAAGGCCTCATGCTTGCTGGCTTGCTTGCTTAACTCTATTACTTGAGCCATGCCTCCAGCTCAGTTTTTTTTCTCAGTCCTGGGGCTTACACGCCAGGCCTAGGTGCTGTCCTTGAGCTATTTTTTTTATTTTAATTTTATTGTCAAGATGATGTACGGAGGAGTTACAGTTACATAAGTAGTGAGTACATTTTTTTTTTTTTGGTTCCAGTCATGGGGGCTGAACTCTGGGCCTGGGCGCTGTCCCTCAGCTCTTCAGCTCAAGGCTAGCGCTCTACCACTTGAGCCACAGTGCCACTTCCAGCTTTTTTCTTTTTGCTTATGTGGTGCTGAGGAATCGAACTCAGGGCCTCATGCATGCAAGGCAAGCGCTCTACCACTGAGCCACCTTCCCAGCCCCCATTTTTGGGGGGAATTTGTTACTCCCTCCCTCATTTTTCTCCCACTTTCCTGGAGCTCTTTCCATTCAAGGCTATCACTTTGAACTTCAGTGCCACTTCTGGTTTTCTGTAGTTAATTGGAGATAAGACTCTCACAGACTAGGCTGGGAATGTGGCTTAGTGGTAGAGTGCTTGCCTAGTATGCATGGGTTCAATTTCTCAGTACCACATAAACACAAAAAGTCAGAAGTGGTGCTTGGTTCAAGTGGGAGAATGCTAGCCTTGAGCAAAAGCAGCTCAGGGACAGTGCTCAGGCCCTGAGTTCAAGCCCTAGGACTGGCAAAAAAAAAAAAAAAAAAAAGCTGGGCACCAGTGGCTCACACCTGTAACCCTAGCTACTCAGGAGGCTGAGAGATATGAGGATCGCAGCAGGCAGTTTAAAGCCAGGCCAGGCAAGGATGTTCGTGAGACTCTTACCTCCAATAAACACTAGAAAACCGGAAGTGGTGCTATGACTAAGTGGTAGAGCACTTGCCTTGAGCTGAAGAGCTGAGGGACAGCATCCAGGGCCAGAGTTCAAGCCCCAGGACCGACAAAAATAAAGAGTCTTACAGACTTTCCTGCCTAAGCTGGCTTTGAACCATGATCCTCAGATCACAGCCTTCTGAATAGCTTGGATTATGGGTGTGAGCTCAGCTCAGCTTTTTAATGGTTATTTTGGAGATAGAGTCTCACGGACTTTGAACCAGAATCCTCCAGGTCTCAGCCTCCTGAGAGGATAGCTAGCATTACAGGTGTGAGTCACAAACACCCAGCTGAGAATTGATTTACAGTGAACATGCAGACCTTAAGGAGTCAACCATAAAAGGAAGTGAATCAGGAGATTGGGGGGGGGGGGGGGAGGGGAGATGAAAATAGTCAGCAAAATTGAAGAGTTAGGAAGATAGAGATCAGAGAGATGAGGTCAGAGATATGTTAGAGATGGAGTTGGAGTGAAGGAGTCAACAAAAGGAAGACACCAAGGATTTGGGAGTGGTAGCAAGGTGGAGAATCTAAAGATTAGGGACCTTATGAATCTGAAACCGAAACAAGGTATCAGATATAGATTAAGAAAATGAAAAACTCAATGCCTATAGTGCTTAGGAAAGAAAAAAATTCATTTTGGGGCAAAGAGCTTGTAGAGAAGGCTAAGATGGAGCAAGGTTATGAGGAGGGGGGAAGTCAAGATGATCGGGGAATATCAATGCATCAGAAAGAGATCTCTCTGATCTAGGCTTCCATTTTCTTGCTGGATCTTGGGCTAAAGAGATAAGTCATTACCAACCTCCATCTATCCTTCCACTTCCCACCTCCCCATATCAGGAAAGGGCTGGAGAAGGGGGAATACCTACCACTGCAACTCTGGTACCCCAAATCTATCTCTCCATCCTTGAATTCAGATGAAGTTCTAGTGTGGGGTAGAAGGTGCTTCTCATCTGCTCTGGAGTTCACCTGGGATCATGATCCAGCAATTACATGCTTATCCCTTCTGAAGAACATGCCCTTTACCTGCTACGAATGGAGATGGAGGCCAGATGGGTCATAGGAGTAGGGTCTGGACTGTCTGTGGGTCCCTGTGTTTCCAAGATAGCATTGGGGATGGGAACTACAGGAAAGGACAGTGCCAGGATGAGTAGGCTGAACTGAGAATTTGTGGAGAGCTAAGAGAACATCATCCATGGTTAAATCATGAAGTCCTTGGCCAAGAAGCACCATGGAGAGAGGAATCGTTGTAAAGAAGCCCTTTGAGACAGTTGTGCCAAATCCACTTGGCCCAATGAGAAGCAGAAGGTGCAGAGAAACCATCTCAGCTGCTTAACACTATTCTTTGGGGCCTAGGCCTTTCCTTCACAGAGGCCAGTGAAGATGGGAGCCTCCTGGGGGGTGGGAGGGGGGAGAAAAGGGGAAGGAGGTATCTGAGGATGCTAGGGCGGGGCTAAGAGCAGGAAGTGAGCTGGGAACCACCATTACCCTCCCTCTACTGCAAGCACCACAACCAGAACAGAAAGGGGACAAAGAGGAAATGACAGATTGGGTGGGGAGGGTTTGGTGGGGGTATAATTATGCCTTTCTCTGTAGGGAGCTTAATATGCCAAAACCAAACTGGGCTGGATAGCCAAGATATCCAAGTTCAACTTCAAATCAAGAAATGGTTTTGAGTGACAGTTGATGGCAGACACTGGTAAAGCCCAGTGTTGTACCTGGTTCTGCAGGCTTCCAAGCCCACTCCAAGGGAGCTGAGGGAACTACACAGTCCTCATATCCATTCTCCTTTGCAACTTCTACTCCCCTCCACTTCAAACCCAACCTAAAGCCAGCTCTCTCTATCACCAGATCTTCCCCCATTTTAGCAAGCTTCTCTCCTTGCCCTTCACCTTGAATCTCTATCTCCTTAGCAGAGAGACTGAATGCCATCCCCACCCCACAGTCTCTGGGCCAGACTGCAGAAGGGGCCAGGTCTTTGGTCCTGAGTGCTCTTCTCCAGCTAGGATGCCTCCTTCATCCCCTAAACTCCATCTTTAGACCTTCTAAGGACCCTCTGTCTCCTTCATTCATATCCAGGACCATCTACTGTCCCTTCAGCCACTCCTCCTTTGACCTTAGTACTTCTGCCCTCTCCCATCCCCAGTCACTAGCCCTTCTTCTAAGTACCTCTCCTAAGTTTCCAAACTCTCCACCCACTCCCCTCATGGATCACATTCTTATTCCCTCAGCCACCTATCCCCCCAAAAGTTATAAAAGGTAGCCACTCTGTCTTTCTCTGGGATACATTTCCTGTCTTGTTGCTCATGGGTACCAGCTTGGGCCACTGCCCCTTCCCCAGAAACACCCAGAAGTTGCTTTTGCCCACCAGACCAGATCAGACTGGAGAAGCATGGTGCCCACCTACCCACCACAGCTCCGAGTTGACCTCCTTACCATCCTGGCCCGAGTGCTGCAGGTGCTCCTGCAGGTCACACCCAAATACCCGTTCCTTGTTACTGCCCTTCTTCTTGCCTTTCTGCCGAGACTTCATGGCTGGAACCCCAGAATTCTGGCCCAGCTGCCTCTGTCTCCCAAGACCTTTGCCCTATTAGGCCCCCATGGGATCCCAGCCAGATGACTGTGGGGGCTTGGCCTGGCCCCAGTGGGAGGGAAGGGCTCCACACTGGAGGTTGAGGGTGGCCTGGGCAACCAACAGCAAGTCCAGCCTCTGGGGCCCCAGCCACACGGAAGTTGCTGTAAAGAGGAAGCTGTGAGGACCCTGGCATGAAGCTGTGTCTCGTGGCCTGGCCAGGCACTCGCCCTTCTTCTCGCCTCGTTCAACTCCCAGGAGGCAGGAAGCTGTGCAGCTCCTCAAACCCACTTCCTGTTAGAGCATCTTAAAAACCACAGGGCCTGGGGTGGGGGAGGTACTGACATTCACATCCTCATCCATTCTGAGACTTCACCCATTGGTCAAAGGGAGATGATGTCAGGGCTTTGGGGAGGGATAATGGTGCCTGGGGCATGATCAGGTAACTAAAAACTAAAATTCTTGGGTCCAACAGGGAGATCTGAGGTGCCTGGGAGGAGGGTGGCTCAGGGCTAAGCAAAGCAGACCCAGGAGGAAAAATACCTTGCTTCTGCCTAGAATGAGCCACTCACTTCAACCAAACCACACTGTGCCTCAGTTTCCACACACTTGAAAATGAAGGGCGCAGACTACATGATTTAGTCTTCTAGCTCTAACAGACTGTAGAACTCACCTAACTTGAGTTTCAGTTTCTTTACTAAAAGTAAAAGCATATTGCTGTCTAGTTCTCACGTAGCTCCTGATGGAGGGGCAGTACTGGGGCTTAAACTCATGGCTTGGTTTCCTTAGTTTTTTTTCACTCAAAGTTAACACTCTACCACTTGAGCCATAGCTCCACTTCCTGCTTTTGCTAGTTAATTGGAGATATGTGTCTCATGGATTTTTCTGCCTGAGTTGGCTTTGAACTGTGATCCTTAGCTCTCAGCTTCCTGAGTGGTTTGGATTACAGGCGTAAGATACTGGCACCCAGCTCAATATATCACTCTTTTTGTGTTTCTCCACTAAAATAAAGGACTTCCATATTATACTTTCTAAACTAAGGCATTGGCTTTCCCAGAAAGGTTCTTAGCAATGTGCTTCTATCCGAGTGCTTTCTGAAATAGATGGAGGCCTTGTGGAGACCAATTCTTTATCCTTCCCTGCCATGCTTGGGAGCACAGGCAGGTTGGGTAGTGAGACAGAACATATAGTACTCCAGGCTAATATATTCAAGGGCAAGACAGGAACCAGACAGAACAGGTTTTATCTGTTTATTTAAAAACAGAATAATGTTTTATGTACAAATATGCACATATTTACACAAAATGTACATACTAGGATCTTTAGTCTTTGGGTTCTACAAAGTCCTGGGTTGGCTGGGGAACAGAAGCTGGAAGACTGTCTTTCAGTTCATAAATCCAGCAGATTTCGGGTCATGCAGGATTTAGGCACTAAATATCAGTATTCTGGGCTGAGTAGATTTGGGTAGGCCAAAGGAAAATAAACATCTAACCCCAGCCTCTACCCAAAGAAATGGCCAGAAGAACTGCAAACTAATGACTCAGAAATTTCTGGGAAAAGGAGACATCCTCACCTGTACAACTCCTTCCCTTCGCCTGAACTCCTGCTGTCCCTTGATCTGTAATCAGTACCCTTTCTCCCCTATGCCACAATTGAACCAGAAGTCCTTCTTACCAACTCCTCCAAGGGACCACAAACAAATATGGATACAACTAAAAAGTAGATGAAGCTAGGGGAAGGGGCCACCAGGGCCAAGTACCTTCCCCTATTCTCCCTTAGGAAATGGTCAAGGGGTTCACACCACTGGTTCCAGACTCTACTAGCTATCAGGCTCCCTCCCAATGGACTCCCTGGATGAAGATGTCTTCGAAGAAGGAACATCTTTCACAACCATAGGAATTAACCCATGGGTTGAAGTCTTGCTTTGCTGAATGCCTATGTAGGCTGGCCTTGCTTAAGCAAACCCAGTGACGAGCAAGCAGTTAAACCAAAAGTTGTTCTGTTTTGTTAAAGATGTGTCTGTCATTAAGGGAGTCAGAATAGTACTCTGAAAGCTCCCAGGGAAGGTTTATTTACAGAAACTATATACATGCAGCAGGCCCACAGGCCACCAGAGGGCAGAGGGCTTCTTATGTAACAGTCCAAGCAGTCCCTAGGTGGCAGCTTCACATGCCCCACAACTCCCAAGTGGTGAGAATCTTGCTCCTCCACCTTGGAGGCCAGATTCCAGCTCCAGCTATGCCCGCACACCTGGATCTGGCCCACAGTATCCACCTCTCATCTCCAATTTCTGCATCACTAATACTGCTCTGGGATCTGAGAAAAATACCTGCACTTGCAGGCAGAGGTCACTCACAGCCACACAACATACAAACCAAAGCTTGACAGCGTTCCATACGAAGCCATCCAAATCCTACATCACCACTCACTCAGACTGTAACATGACAGTATGTTACACACCATGGACAGCTGCCCCCCACCCACTCATACACACACAGTGGACATTACAACACAAATACACGCACACAGTGACCTGCACACATGATGGGAGTGGGGCACTCCTGATGAACAGAAGGGTTGGAGGAAAAGGTCGAGCAGTCAGTGGAGTGGGAAGCATCTTCCTCAAGAAAGAAGGGCATTTAAGGAGGTCCCCCAAGATGAGCTGAAATCCCATGTCAGCAGCAGGAGCCAGGCCGAGGGAGGGAGGCAGGCCTGGGTCAGACTAGGTGCCCCCGCCCATTGATGTAGATGCCATTGCCTGTGGGCTTGGCTCGAAGAGTCCCATTCTCCTGAACAAAATGGTTCATGGCCTGTTTGATGCCTTCATCCCGATCTTCCTCCTCCTCTCCCCGCCCAGAACTTGGAGACAGCAGTTCAGTCTGTGTTTCAATCTCCCTCACAGTGGTCAGTGTGGAATAACTGCGACCTTCAGGCTCTTCACTCTGGAGACCAAGGGCAAAGGACAAGTCAGAAACCAAGACAGGGCAGTCAGACACAGACAAAGTGGGGTATGACTGGGTAATGATGGGGTCAGAAGTCAGGCAAAGCAGGGGTTGTGGTTGTTGCAGAGGTATAGGGATTTGGAGATAAGGGGCCAGGAATTAGTGTTAGGTTTGGGGAAGGCAAGCAGAGATGCAGGGATGGGCCACATAAGCCAGGGCTGAGGCTCAAGTGACTGTAGGTAAGGGGGCTGCTGACACACCACATCTGGGGCCAGGAGTGGAGCCTAAGGAAATTGGTGGGGATGCCGGTGGGGCCGGGGGGCCTCACCATCACAGAGCAGCTACTGTTGTCCTTGAGACTATCAGGGTGGCCCTCGGCTCTCAGCCCTACACTCTCCTCCGGCTGCAGGCCCAGGACATGGGGGAGGAGTTAGAACAGAGCTCAGCCTCTTCCCTCAGCCTCTTCATCTCTTATCCTCCACCAGCCTCCTCCCTAATCTCCTTACCCACAATCCCAAATGCCCATTCTCTCCCTAATACAAACGTCCTCGTTCCCCCACCCCAAACCACCCTGACACCAGAGCTGATGGTAGATTACCAGAGCAGCCACTAAGCCAGAGATGAAGGAGGCCTTCAGAGGAATTGTAGCAGACCCAAAGTAGCTACATGCCACGCCCCCCCCAACCAAACCCTGGCCCCAGCCCAGCCCCAGCTATGAGTCATGATAGGCAAGATGCCATGGACAACTGTGCCCCTGGTCTGCAGAGAGGCCAGGCACAAGAAAACCCCACACATGCATCCAACCTTGGCACACACCTGGCTCCTAGGATCTGAGTGATGGGAATGCAGCCTCCGGATGGAGTTCTCCCGGGTCAAGGTCAGCTCTTCCTCACTGGGAAAGACACCCCCCCTTGTCAGGAGCTGAGGGTAGTGGTAGCCTTCCAAGGTAACCCTAGCCTGGCCAAGCCTATGTGAGGCAGCTGGAGGATATAGGTGTCTATACTAGCCCTGCAAGTGTAAGTGTGTGACTGTAGATGGCAGTGTGGCCAAGAAGCATGCACATGAGTGTGTGCAGTAGGTGATACCTAGACATGTGACTCACTCAGGCGGTATGGCTCCCCTGACCCCGCTATGGCCTCACAAGCCCCTCTCACTTCCCAATTTTGCCCGTTTCTGGTCAATAGGAGCTAGCCCCTCTCTTTTCACTCCTATTTGCTTCCTCCTTGTTCCTAGCTCAGTTCTACCTACCCCGGAGCAGCCAGTACTCACTATTTCTGGGTCATCTGCTGGGCCTTGCGCCGATGGTATCGGGACATGAGCACCACTACCACGACCAGAAGGCAGAACAAGAGTGCGGCGATCACACCCACCACCACCACCGAGGCCGACACTAGGTCCACCTGCTTCCCAGGGTCCTGAGGGTCTGCTGGAGACAGGCCACTGTCTGAGGTCCATGTCCAGATCCCCGCTGCACCCCCAATTCCATCCTGTTCCCCACATACTGTCCTCCCAGAACTCACCCACAACCACTCACTTAATGACTCTCTGCAAACCACACCAATCAACACCCCCAAATAAATACCTCCGCAAATCCTTCTGTCTTGCTTTCTGTTGCCTTCCCCCCACCCCTATCCCTGGCCACCCACCCTTGGCCCTGGGCCCAGGGCCAAGACAAGGGTGTCTTTGACTTACCTAGAACATCTACAGTGACCCGAGAATCCCTCGAGGAGAACTCATTGTTGACATGGCAAACGTAGATGCCACTGTGCTCAGTAGTCAATGGGGGAAAGCCCAGAGTATCCCCTTCTACTCGTACCCCACTGGGCAGAGGCCCATCCAGCCTAGAGGATAGGAAAGCTGAAGGGTGCCAGCTGGGGCGGGCTGAGGCTGCCATCACCTAACATGCCTGAGCAGATCTCCACCACCTCCCCCCCCCTGCTCCCACATGACGTCACCTGGAGCCGCTGGCTGTTCCCACGGTGCCCCACCCTCCCCTAGGCAGGTCTAGGCAGAGGCCCCTTCTCCCTGCTGCCCAGCCTGACCCGGGCACCCCCACACACATTCGGGGAAGATCCACACGCGTGCCATCCCACATGCTCCCAAGAGGCATCACGTCATCCAGAACTGTGCACCAGATATACATGCTATAAAGTCCACACAATAGACTGCTCCACTCCAAACTGGGCTCAGAGGCACTTAGAAAATGTGACTCCTTGCTTCAACATCTAAGATGCTACATGACAGCATCAGGAACCTAGCCTCAGGTATGAGCCACACACATTGCTCATGAGTCCCCATGTAAGAACATGTCTATCACATACATGTGTATTCTAACTCTCGCTGAGTCTCTGGACATCTCAGATCCTGGAAAAAAGCCAAGGACTCTTGAGGGAACTGACAGAAGTGAGTGGGTGTTTTTGAGGTGCTGGCAACATTGTGGTTACGGGAGTGTTGGTGTAGCAACACATACAGTCAGCTGTCTTTTTGTCTCATGCACTTTGGGGATTCACACTAATTCATGAAATATTAATCATTTAAAAATTAGGGGAAAAACCAAGAATGTGTTGGTTTATTCTCTATCAGAGACCGTGTAGCTGGGTGCAGGTGGCTCATGTGTGCAATCCTAGCTACTCAGGAGGTTGAGATCTGAGGACCAAGGTTCAAAACCAGCCTTGGCAGGAAAGTCTTTGAGACTCTTATCTCCAATTAGCCAGCAAAAAGCTGGAAGTGCAGGTATGACTCAAGTGGTAGAAAACTAGTCTTGAGCAAAAAAGCTAAGAGAGAGCATGAGGCCCTGAGTTCAAGTCCCAGTATCTGCACAAAAATAATGAATTTAAAACATCCATCCCTAGATTCCCTTGGACAAGCCAATAATTGGTAGTCATATTTTTTTTCTATTGGTCTGAACAGGGCCCCAACTTATCAAGAGTCCAGAGCATAAAGTCCCAGACCATAAAAAGTACATCCTGGCCTTGAGAGGGAAGAGTCCTAATCCTAGGATAGCCCCTCCCACAGACCCTTACCGTGTCCAGTTGTATGAAGGAGGTGGCTGCCCTTCACTCAAGCACTTGAGCATAGCTCCTTCTCTGCCAACATGCCACAGTTTTTGGTCCTCAAGGCCCCTCACAGAGGCCTCAGTTAGGACTGGAATGGGAGGCAGGAGGGGGAAAAAGTGAATGATGACTTCAATCATATGGTTCCTCAAGGGATTCCCCACAATCCCTGCTGTACCCTGCCAAAACAGCCTCCCTTTGCCCTTTATCATCCTACTCATCTGCTACTAAACCTAGCCTGGCCCCCCTCATGGCTAGCTCCTGGCCACATGGCTCCCTCTTTTCTCTAAGCTGAGTCTATATTGGTTTATTTGTGCCATGAGCCCACAGTAACCTCAGGGTAGTGATGTGTCACACCTTTTCTGGATCTTCTGTGGTGTCTGGCGTAGTACTAGTCATAGAACAGGTGCTCAATAAATGCTGCTGGATTCTTTGAAGGCCTAATAATCTCACTTGTTCATTTGTTTCTTTAGTAAACATTTGTGAGGACCTACTTTGTGCCAAATGTTAGCATAGTTTCAGCTTGAAGTCTAATGCTGGGAATACAAAAGCTCTATGGTTTCCTGAAGCCTATGATTTAAGATCTGTGTGAGATGTTTTGCATTCACAGCTGCTAATTCCCACCAAAATCCTGTAAAGTTGATATAATTATACTCATTTTGCTGATGAAGAAAATGAAACCTAACAAGATTAAATAACAGCTGGTAAACAGCCGAATGCAGGCTTGTCCCAAGTCTATTGCTAAACCCTAAGCCATGCAATTTTCAAAATGCTTTCAATTCCATGTTGATAGTTGATTCTTCCAACAATGCTGTAAAGCAAGATCTTCTCCTCTGTAAAGACAGAGACCCTGAAGCACAGTGATTTGCCAAAGTCATCTGACATTGACCTCCAGGTCTTCTACCTTTGGGTTACTGTTCTCCTGAACACTATAGCTCCCAGGACCCAGATGGTCAGCCTACCATGGCTCAGGGTCACAGAGTGTCTCCCAATTCTTTTGGAACCCAGGGAGACATAGGCCTCCAAGTACTTACAGGCCACTTGAAGGGTATGAGTGATCCTTCGGTTCTGGAGCAGGCCAGGGTGGGACACCACACAGGTAAGTGGCTGTCCATTCATACTGCGACTAGGCACCAGGTGGAACTCTGATGTGACGGCAGCTGAGCGGGAGTGCTTGAAGGAGCGGCTGGATGTTGTGCCTTTGACCTCCGTGTCCCAGGTCACATTGGGGGCAGGGCTACCCTCAGCAGTACAGGAGGCTGCCAATGTCAGACCCTGGCCCTCTTCCAGTGGTGGACCAGGATTCAGTGAGGGCAAGGGAGGCACTGTGGATGGGGAGAGTGGGGAGGTCACAGATCTGCACAACCCCAGTCAGAGGGCCCCACTCCAGCACTTTTTCTTCTGTTATTTTCTCAGTAAAGGCACCAGGCAAGAGTTAGAATTTCAGCAGCCAGGCACCTGTCGTTCACACCTGTAATGCTAGCTATTTAGGAGGCTGAGATCTGAGGATGGCAATTTGAAACTAGCCTGAGCAGAAAAGTCCCTAACTCTCTATCTCCAATTAACCAGCAAAAAGCCAGATGTGAAGGTATGGCTTAAGTGGCAGAGTGCCAGCCTTGTGTGCAAGAGTACACACACACACACACACACACACACACACACACACAGAAGAATCAGAATTTCATGTGTATTAGGAAATGGAAGAGAAAGGAAGGAAACAGGTGGGACTGTTTATTGAAGAACAGCAAGAGGAAGCATGGGATCCCGTGGGACCAGAGGTTGTGCAAGGAGTTGAGATTGGAGTTAGGCTTTTGTGGGGTCTGAGCAAGGAGACAGAGGTTACTTGAATTCAGTATAGGGGAAGTTACTCCAGGTGCCGGCCCAGAGTATGGTAAGTATAGTGATAACTGACTCCCTTATCCAAGGTCTCAAGCTTTTTAATGTTCAAACAGATCTACATGTCTGGACCTTCTCAGGGTCCAGTTCTCAGCTCTTTGTTCAATCTCTTAACCCCTTCCTGGTCTCACAGCTCCACCTCAGAGTTCCCTACAGATTAGGCCCACAATGGAATGTTTACAGCCAGGCTTAGGTGGGATTGCCCTGCCTGCATCAAGCACATCTGTGCGTACCTTAGGTTTTGCGGGGCATTGGTATACACCTGGAATAATAGGGTTAGGGGTCAATCCTTCAATGTGACTTTTGTCCATTGTTTGAATGTTTTACAGTGGCATGGGTCATTTTTTTAAAAATAAAAATAATGAAGTAATTTAAAAACAAATTAGATTTTATCTACATAATAATAACAGCCATCATTTAGTAAGCACTTACTATATGTCAACTATTATGTTAAATAGTTTACAAATGTTATCTCATTTAATTTTGTCAACAAACCAGTGAGGTGGGTATTATTATCTGTTTTTCAGAGGAGGAAACTAAAGCTCAGGGAGGATAATGATTTGTTCCAGGTCATCAGTTTTAGGGTGACAAAGCCCAGATTCACAATCAGGTTTTTTTGTTTTGTTGTATGCATGTGTGTTGATTTTTGAGACAAGGTTTTGCTATGTAGCCAGGGTGACCTCAAACTCTTCATCCTCCTACCCGTTTCCTGAGACTACAGGTGAACATCACCACATCCAGCTATTTAACACTCAAGTTTTTTTTTTTTTCTACTCCAGTGCTGATGCTTCTATAACTTACATGTGGACAAATGGAGACTATAAAGGTCTTTTATTCTAGCTTTAAAATGGTAAGGATAGCTGGGTGTTGATGGTGCATGCCTTAACTCTAGCTACTCAGGAGGCTGAAATCTGAGGGTCAAAGTTGAAGCTAGCCTGGACAGAAATGTCTGTAAGATTTTTGCCTCCAATTAGCTATTCAAAGGTCCTGAATTCAAGCCCCAGTTCTCTCTCTCTCTCTCTCTCCCTCTCTCTCTCTCTCTCTCTCATACACACACACACACAGTCACACATGGGAAAAGACAACTTAACCAGACCACACATGCCCTTAGTGCAAAGTAGTGGCTAAAAAGGCAAGCATGACCTCAAATCACATTCACTGAAGGTCCAACAACAAAGAAGGTATTAGCCTAATTAGTCATGCATGGCCATACCATACAACAAAGCTTGGTGTTCCCATCTGAGCCCTGCATTTTAAACCATGCATCCCAGGATGGTGAAGGAGGCTTTGAGTTAGTTTTTGGTGGAATTGTGGCAGCGCCAGTAGTAGATCTAGGTGAAGAATGACGTAGATTTTCAGGACTTTAAAGAGCTGTGAAGCAAAAGAGAGACTAAGCTAATGCTTTATTGCTTGAAAGGACAAAATGAAAACAGAGAAGGAGATTTTAGGTCATCTGTACAGAATTTGTATGCATGTGTGCTGCACATGGGTCTTGAACTCTGGAAACTTGGGATCTGGGGACTGTCCCTTAGCTTTTTTGCTTCAGGATGGTGCTCTACCACTTAAGCCACAGCTCCAGTTCTGGTTTGCTTTGTTTTGGGTTTTTGCTGGTTAATTGTAGGCTCTCAGACACGCCTGCCCCAGCTGGCCACAATTCTCAGATTTCAGCTCCCTGAATGTAGGATTACAAGTGTGAGTTTCCAGCTCTTCTCACCTCCAGCTGCTCCCTCGAAACCCCTGAGCCCACTGGGCTCAGGGTGGGTTTGACACACCCAACGCCCCCCACTACCCCTATCCTACTTACCCAGCACTCGGAGCCGCAGCTGCGCTTGGAAGCTGCCAGAAGGGAAGGTGCTGACTCGACACTGGTACTCGCCCTCGTCCGCCTGCACAGCGTTGCGCAGGAGCACGGAACCGTCCAGAGGGTCCCGTGGGGGCGGGGGCTGCTCCACGCGGCCCTTGTAGGCTGAGCTTACGTGAAGTCCATATTCAGAGTTCAGTAGTGCCAGCTCTCGAGTGCCCTCGTTCGCGTCCACCCGAGCCCATGCCACCTGCCCGACTCGCTCCTCCGGGTCTCCACGGTAGAAGCAAGGCAACTTTGCATCCTGGCCTAGCACGACCGTCACCAAGTCGGAGGTCTCCAATTCACCTGCGAGAGACTGGCCTGCAGGGGGCAGACAAGAGCAGCCAGGATGAGGGGCTGGGGCCAGACCAGGGGGGTCACTTTCATAATGGTAATGACAGCCAAGGCAGCCGGAACTCAGGGAGCATTTTATGCTTGCAAAGCACATTTTGTTCATTACCTCATTAGATCCACAAAAGATTCCCGAGAGGTAGGCGTTATTATCACCACTTAACAGATGAGGAAACTGAGACCCAGAGAAAGGAAGTGGCTTGCCTAAGGCCACACGGAGGATTTATAGAAGATCACACCCTCTTCCAGCCTAGAAGTGTATCCTGAGCTATTGCAGGTGGGAGGCTATAACAAAGCCAGAGACCCAGCCCCTGCCTTCAGGGAGTTCATAGTCTTAAGGGAAATGGAATTTTCTTTTTTTTTTTTTTTTTTTTTGGTTGTGGGGCTTGAACTCTGGGCCTGAGCGCTGTCCCTCAGATCTTCAGCTCAAGGCAAGCGCTCTACCACTTGAGCTACAGCGCCACTTCCGGTTTTCTAGTGGTTTATTGGAGATAAGAGTTTCACGGACTTTCCTGCCCGGGCTGGCTTTGAACCGCGATTCTCAGATCTCAGCCTCCTGAGTAGCTAGGATTACAGGCCTGAGCCACCGGCGCCCGGCTAGGGAAATGGAATTTAGACACACAGAAACCAGGAAAACCATGGACACGTCTTTTTACAGGAGTCTCAACCTATGCAAAAGGATAAAATTGAATGCTTCCAAGAAGTGTGGCTGGAAGCTACCACAAGGTTCCAGAATAGATGGTGTCCTGGGATAGGGCACATAGAGTGGGAAGGGTCCATCCCAGGAGGCTCTTTAGAACATTCTTTTCATGACTTGGAGATGAGAGACCTAGATTCCCAGAGAGATGGAGGTATTCCATGTGGGAGGAATGGCATGAACCAAGGCTCAGAGACAGGAATGAGCAAGTCACTGAAGACAGAAAGGACCCAGGTCAGAGGTCCAAAGAGATGAGGTCAGTGTAGACACATAATGAAGGGTCAGAATGTTAAGCCAGAGGTGAAGGACTAGTGCATCTCATGTTGATGAGCAATATGAAGCATTCAAGGATTTTGGAATCAGAACATCATACAACCTCATCTGGATCCACTCCCTTCCCTCATAGACCCTGAGGTCTGTTCAAGAGGAAGATATAGAGACAGATGTGCAAATGGCAACAAAGAGTTTTCTTCTATTTTGTTGTTTTCTTTTTTTGACAAAGGATCCTGGCTGGCCTCAAACTTGCAATCCTTTTGCCTCAGCATCCCAAGAACTGGGATTACAGATGTATGCTACCACATCAGACATGCAATGATTGTTTCTGATTTAATGTCCAGATGTACTGCTGCCCAGTTTTGGAATGGGGCAGCCAGTGGGGTCCCAAGCCATGTGGGTGGGCCTTATGCTTTTGTTGGGTAGGATTAGGAATTTAGAGAGACCTAGAAAAACGTTCCAGCCAGGCACCAGTGGCACACACCTTGTAATCCTAGCTACCTTGTAATCCTAGGTTGAGATATGAGAATCTCATTTCAAAGCCAGCCCAGACAGACAAATCAGGGACTCAATTAACCAGCAAAAAGCCTGAAGGAGAAGTGTGGTTTAAATGGTAGAGTACCAGCCTTGAGTTGGAAAAACCCATGGGTAAGACCAAGACCCTGAGAATGTATGCATGTATGTGCACACGAACACACACACACACACACACACAAAGACATGCCAGGTAAAGGATCAAGGTAAGCAAACAGGAAGTGGAGGTTGGCTAGTTCAGAAAGCAGAGAGTAGAGGACCCAACCTAAGGCAGGGTGTATGTGAGTTAAGCAGAAATGGAAAATATGGCTGGGGTAGGGTGGGGCACCAAATGGCCCAGGGCCTTCCATACCAGGCAAAGGAATTCAGATCTGGTCAAGAGGAAATGGGGAGTCAGAAGGTTCTTTAGCCAATGAATGGAGTGAAGCAAGTGGAAACATGCAGTTTGACCAGAAAGGAGGCAGATCGAGGCCCAGAGAGTCACCAAGAAACTACAGCTGCAGCCCTGGCATGCTGGTACTGGACAGAGAGGAGGGAATGGTTCCTGGGTGTCATTTTGTTGGGATTTTGGTCACTGACTATAGAGAAAGAGAGGAAGCAGGAAGACTCAAGGACAATTAGATTTCCAGGATGGGTCACTTGTGAGGGGAGGCAGAGTCTGAGGAAACTCATGGTTGAAATGAACTCAATGTCAAATCATGAATACAGGGCCAGGGACTAGGTCAGAGTGAAAGGGTGCTTTGGGGTCACAAGAGCACTTTGCTTTGGAATGTGTACTCCAGCAACTCCTAAAGGGTTGTAGTTAGTCCCTGCCTCTGCCTAGCACCTTACACACCCTGTTATTCCTCACCTTTGCTCACACTGTACCCCTGCCTGGAATGCCTTCCTCCCTATGTCTAGTAGCTCCTACTCATCATTGTCTGGAAAACTCCTACTCATGTCTTAATACTCTACACAGACATCACTTCCTCCTAGAGTCCTCCCTCCCTGCCCCACCTTAGGCAGTCTTGTGTGCCCCTCTGTTCTCCTCTAATACTCTGCTTTTACCACCCCCCCATCATAGAACTTTAACCCATAGATTGTATTTACTATTTTCTTGTCTGCCTCCCCCTCTAGATTGAGCCCCATGAGAGTAAAAACTGGTCACATATTACCTATAGAAATGTGATTTCTGATTTCTTGCTCAGTGGTGTGTGGGCTCCATTCCTGATATTCAACGAATGTTTATTTATTGAACGATGAATAAATCAGGGAGATGGCAGAAGAAGGAAAAGATAGAATGAGAAGGAATGAGCAGTCCTTAGTAGAGCTGGAGGAGGGAATTGAGGTGGCAAACTTGGAGTTTAGGAAAGATAGGCTAGCTTTTGGGGTTCACTGACAAAAGGAGCATCTCTTAACTAGACAGAGGAAGAAAGGAGGGATGGGAAGAGGTAGGCACATAGCTTGGAGTGGAGCAGAGGGTTCCACTGAGGCAAAAGAAGGGGTCCTATGGTCCTGCTGCAAAAAGCAGAAAAAGGGAGGATGCTGCTATGATCTGGGAGGGCCCAGACTGGACGGGACAGACCTGCAGAGCTAGATACCATGGCCCTGACCTGCCTAAGCTGATGTTGGTCCCACCCAACCCAGTCTGGGAGTCCAGCTAACCACCTGCACCCTTCCCAGGCACCTCCTTCTGATACTAAAGGGAGCAGGGCTGCCAAAGAAGGGCTTGAGGTAGAGGCTCTCCAGTAAACCATCTGCTTCAAATTCCTGTATCCACTGGGCACTGGTGGTTCACATTTGTAATCCTAGCTACTCAAAGCCATCTGTGAGACTTTTTTTTTTTTTTGTCAGTTGTGGGCTTGAACTCTGGGCTTGGGCACTATCCTTGCGCTCTTCAGCTCAAGGCAAGCGCTCTACCGCATGAGCCACAGTGCCACTTCCAATTTTCTAGTGGTTTAGTGGAGATAAGAGTCTCACGGACTTTTCCTGCCCGGGCTGGCTTTGAACTGCGATTCTCGGATCTCAGCCTCCTGAGTAGCTAGGTAACAGGCATGAGCCACTGATGTCCGGCTCTGTGAGACTCTTATCTCCAATTAACCACCAAAAAAGCTAGAAGTGGTGCTGTGGCTCAAGTGGTAGAGCATTAGCCTTGGACAAAAGAGTTCAGGGACAGTTCAAGTCCTAGCACTGGCCAAAAAAAGAAAAAGAAAAAAGAATTCAGGGACAGCTCCCAAGCCCTGAGTTCAAGCCCCAGGACCAGCATCAAAAATAAATAACAGAGGCTGTGAAGGTGGCTCAGTGGTAGAGCGCTTGCCTTGCATGCATGAGGCCCTGCGTTTGATTCCTCAGCACCACTTAAGCAGAAAAAAAAAGCCAGAAGTGGCACTGTGGATCAAGTGGTAGAGTGCTAGCCTTGAGCTGAGAGCTGAGGGACAGCACGCAGGCCCAGAGTTCAGGCTCCACGACCAACAAAAATAAAATAAGTAGCATCAAATCCTTCTAAAGACTATTTCTTGGAAAAGATCAGGTGAGAAAACTTCCCATCTGCGTCCGTCCCTATACTTGCCAACAAGTGAACTGTATTCTCCTCTCAAAAAGAAAAAGGAAAGACACAGCAAGAATTGGGTATTCAGCATATGTGAGCCCCAATCCTCCATGTCTCTACCTATAAGTCCAGGATCCCCATTTCCAAAGAACAAGTCCAAGCTTTGTATAATGAGAACCCAATAAAACAGGAAAAGCTCTCTTGCAATTCTCCCACAGCCCCCTATTGTCCTAAACCCACTGTTCAGAAAGAGTGTCCTTGGCTGAGGCCACACCCTCCTCCAATCGACTGCAGCCATCCCCTAAGCTGCAACAATAAGAAAAGAGAAACTTGGGATCTAATGCCCTTGTCCTGGACTACATGGACTCAAGAGGCCTGGCTCCCAGGCCAGGGCAGGCCAGGACTGCCTCCTCCTCTCCCCCACCCAGTGCCTGCCTGGCGTCAGCATGATGATGTCACCAGACTGAAGGAGACACACCGCCTGCCTGGTGAGGTCACCCTGCGGGCATGTAGTAGCCAGGCCAGGCCAAGCCCATGGACCCTTCTGCTGCAAATTGTTTGCTGAGGCTGGTGGACTCTAACTAGCTGGGTACTCCTCCCCCTGACTCGCCTTCCCCTCCTCCCAGGAGCACCAGGACGCTGGTCAGGAACCTTGGTGACTCAGAAGCCGCCACACAGCAGCAGGCCTAGCCACAACCGCCACCACCTTGCGCAAGGGAAAGAACAGGCCTGACTGGCCAGACGGGATCCCTGCCCTCAGCCTCCCCCACCCCTTGCCAGGCCCCTTCAGGCCTCTTTGGGGCCCTTCCCTTTGTGTACTCCGCCCGCTCCCCAGACAGGCCCTCCATTCCTGGCTTGGGCTGGCTGGTTGTACCCCACCCTGTACCTGCGTCCCCATTTTACTTTCTGTGTAGAGTCTGGCCTCTGGTCTCAGTAGAA